CCACCAGGCGACTGGCTCTTCTCTGGATGGAATCTAAGAGCATCAGCGTATGTTTTGGTGCTGAACCCCATATGTGGGAACAGTATTCTAGAACAGGCCGTATCTGCGCTTTGTAGATCATGAGAAGCTGTTGAGGTGTAAAGTAGCTTTTCGCACGGAACAAGAATACGAGTTTTTGTGAAGCAGCTTTTGCGATGGATCTGACATGATCATATCATGAGTTTCAGAAAATATTTGAGGACAAAACCAGGCATCATTTCATGCCATTTGATCTATAGAAACAAACCTAAGTCAAATCCATTTTGGCATCTTACAGATCTTGAAACAGTCTAAAAATTATTAACATTTGGTAGATCCCTCGTATAAATGGAATTGAATAGGATTTTGAACAATCTCGTGAGTTCATCTGTAGCAAAAACATGGAATGCCTATTGTGGTGACTGCCTTCGCTGGTATGCTAGGAATCGAATATTTATTTTATGTTATATAACATAATAGGTATGCCATTGATATTGCAATAGCAGCCATTGTGTTTGGTTGAAAGGGCCATAAAGCTAAAAGGAGAATAGTCATAACATGTATTGGTAGAAGAATTCCAAAAATCTCGATTCGGTACTTGATAAACATTCGTACTCAGGTTACGAAACCGTTTTCTATTAAATTTTTTTTTTAGATGCTCTTCTGAAATATCAACAATTGTTCCTCCCTTGGCAGTCCCCGCGAGATTAACCCGTCGAGTTGAGGCTTTGCACCCCTGCGTGGTCACTTTGGAGACCTGCAGAACATAATCTGTTCATCCAACGAACAGCGAGACTCTGGAACACATTGCCAAGGGAGGTGTTCCCCGAGGCATATAACCTCCAGAAATTCAAGAAGAACACCAATTCCTACCTCATTTCCCTCGGTTTTCACGATGTTCTCTGAACATTACCGGATATCCCTTTTCGTAGGAACCAGAACATAAAAAAATATACAGTATGATGCAAATGTATGGAATAAATTCATTTCAAAACAAGACGACTTCCGAAAAAATCCAAAAACTAGACTTCAGAACTTTATTAATTGATTTATTTTTTCAAATAGACGACCCTTCGTTGTTCAATTCTCAGTAGCAGACCTCTGCAAGATTCAGTTAATCAAATGATAAGCCATTTTAATTTCAATTTTCTTATGCAAAATGTTGACTGTTGAATAGACGATCAGTAGACCTTTCAAACGAGGTGTCACATGACCCCTGTTTTCATTTGAAAAAATCGTTCATTACGTCATTACTCCAACACCGGTGACGTAACATCTCTCAATGGATATCATGAGATGAGGCTTCAAAAATGAAACCTCACGTGTTTTTGGAATTTTCAAAAATGCCGCCCATTTCTGAAATAATGAATTTATTCCATACATTTGCATCATACTATATACAGTGTGACCCATTTAAGATGGAAGCACCCTTATAAAACTTACATTTTTCAACCGATTGGAATGATTTTTTTTTTTTAGGTAGATATTCAAAAAGTCTATTAGGACACCAAATATCATGAATAAATCTCCATTTCCAGGGCCAACTAATCTGATTTTTCAAGGTCAAAAATCTAAAAAAATTACTAGCGATTGTTTTAGAAAAAATCTGACTACACCACTGGATTGGTGACATTTTCAAATGGGTAACATATAAATTACGTTGAAATGCGTCAATCAATAAAAAAGTTATAAAGGAATGAAATTTGAAAAATATGCCGTTTAATCAACCCATCAATTTTTATTACTGAACAGATTTCGATGAAACTGTGATCAGTAATATTTCAAGACATCCTGAATCCAGTGGAGTATACAGAATTTTCATGAAATTCCTGAACATGAATTGGTGGGTTGATTAAACGGCATATTTTTCAAATTTCATTCCTTTATAACTTTTTTATTGATTGACGCATTTCAACGTAATTTACATGTTACCCATTTGAAAATGTCACAAATCCAGTGGTGTAGTCAGATTTTTTTCTAAAAAAATCGCTAGTAATTTTTTTAGATTTTTGACCTTGAAAAATCAGATTAGTTGGCCCTGGAAATGGAGATTTATTCATGATATTTGGTGTCCTAATAGACTTTTTGAATATCTACCTAACAAAAAAAATCATTCCAATCGGTTGAAAAATGTAAGTTTTATAAGGGTGCTTCCATCTTAAATGGGTCACACTGTATGTGAAATAGTCTCGCAAAATACCACTGTTCTGAATATGTCTCTCATTGTTGATCACTCAATGCCGTACAGCATCATAATTTCGTGAACAATAAAATGAAAGAATTATCCCGAATATTCAGAACATCATGTTGAGAATCCCAATGCCTAGTAGTAATGCCAAAATCAGAAAGAATAGATTTTATCATTCCATGAATAATGTGGAAGTTGAAATTTGAAAATCCGTTAAAGTAGCACATTTTTGTGATACCATAAACAAACTTTCCCGTTTTGCATCATATACATTATCGGTTAGGTATATGTTCTCGATTATTTTCATATTTTCTCATATTTCCATCGAGACCCAAGTATGTATTCCTTGTTGACCAAGCGATATATATGTTTTATGAGCAATCAGCAAGTGAATTGACACCGGTGAAAAGTGCATTAACTTTTTTATTGAACAATATATAGATAATCGAAAGAAGGGTCGGGATTGTTTTGTCTGAATATCGATAACAGTTGTTATTTCTTTCATTCTACAGGGTGATCTAGGAAGGTAGTTTGATCAAGTGGAAAATTATTTGAGATGATTTTTTTCTCCAAATGACATTAAAAGTACCTTTTTCTGCAACCGACACAAAAGTCGTCCATTTTGATACCAAAATTAGCTCTTAAATTGACGTTTCTATTACTGACACAAAAATAGGTATGTTGCTAGGCAACATATTTAGTTCCTAGGAGCTAAAGTTGAATTTTAGTTCCTAGGAGCTGAAGTTGAACTTTAGCTCCTAGGAACTAAAAAGGGTGTGCTGGACGTCATCAAGAATAAACAACATTGTGACAGTTGGTTATTTGAGTTGAGACGCATACCTGATTTGTTTCCGATTAGAGCAGATTTGGTATTTCATACCCATGCTGGAGATATAAATACACCTTATTATAGTTTAATATTGGAATTATAAATATCTCAGTTGAGTATTTTTGTTTTGATCAGGGAATCCTCCAAGATTCAAATACTTGCTTGATCTGTATTTCATTCGTTATTCTCGGGATGGATAACTTGTTTTTGAATAATCACGGCAAGCAATAGTTTTAGTCTCAAACAACGATATTGTTTAGCTTCATTTGATTATCAAGTCAAACACAGTGTAGTATGCCAGTATGGATAGGAATAAATAATCACTATTATCATTGTTGATATGCTCACTAACCTAACATTTTCCACGTATTGTTCCTATAGCTGACACTGGCGCGGTTTTTGGCATTAGAGCACCTGGTCCATACACAAATATGTCACTCTGTGGTTGTATTTATATTGAAACTACAATTCGAACATCCTAGAAAACCCAACCTGCTGTTAATGCTGGTAGAATATTCTCACCACATGGATTATTTGTCAATATTTGTTGCATTGCATATACATATGGCACGGAATTGGTGGTTACTTCACATGTTTATTTGAGTTAATTGTTTCGGTTGCAGAAAAAATAGCATGTTTCATTCGGATCAAAAGTGACTTTGTTCGACTCGCAAATTTTGCTTTCGCTCGGCTTCGCTAAGCGCTCCGCCTCGCAAATGCAAAATTCGCTTGTCAAACAAAGTGTCACTTTTGATCCTAATGAAACAATCTACTATTTTTATGACACTTGACCGGCACAAAAGCTGTATTTTTACTACCTAGACAGAAGAAGTGGACTTTTTCAACGTTCCAAGTAATAATTTGAACAAAATCGGTAATCAAAATAGGCGGCATTAAATCTTGTGCTTTTCTGCCTAGTGAAACAAATAACTATTCTCTAGTCTTGTGGGTGGCTCTTTTTTTGTCATAATTTTTATTCTCTTCAGAAGACACCGAATAAATTTCAATATCCCGATATCCCAAACCACATGTCAGTAACTCTCAGACCTGTAAACAAAATATTGGTAAGCCCCTGAAATTTCGATGCTGATATTTTTTGAAAGTTTGAAATAGTCGTCATGCAGAACCATTTTAATATTCTTGACCCCTACATGAAAAACCTGGGGGCGCCTATTTCTAATTCTTACAATTTTGGTGAAGTTTAGTTCACCAAAAATTGTAAACGAGGTTCCTCGATGACTGTGTTTGGAACCTCCGCCATTTCTTAAAGTCCGTCATGACAAGGCGAAAGGTTTTTTACAAATTTCTGTAAACGTACCCACTGCAATGATAAATTCAGACAATAAGATCAATGCTTCTTTCAGAGTTTTCAAGTAACTCAATTCCTAATGTCAACTTTACCTGCGATTTCCTCAGATTTTTTGCGCAGTGAATATCTTTCAAGAGTGATATTCGTTCATTTTGAACTGACATAATATTTCACTTGAGCTGAACCGAATCAGGTAACATTCGAAAGAACGCATTTCAACTGATTCAGTGCAGTTCCAGTTAGGTAGTTCAGATTGAAAGAATATCACTATAATTACTGGATGACGTAGAATCATGAATTCACCCTTTAAAAAACCACCCTAAACTATTTGTTCACTAAAACATTAATACCTTATTAGTTATTGGCATTCCATGTTTCAATAAAAAATGTTGAAAAACTAAACAAATAGTCGAACAGACAGACAGATCAATACTAACAAGAGAAATATAAACGCAATGGGAGTATAAATCCTAAGCATTTTGGTGAGGTCTATATCACCCTGTTTATTATTTCATCAAAATTGAAGATGGTACTTTTTTCACGAGAAATTTCTATGCTCACATATGGCAGCATACTAGGGAAAGTAAACCCAACAGAAAATCTATAGATCTTGGTTTCCAATCAAATTGTTGAATTACCATGGCAACAAAACACGATTTTGTGACAGTGTCCTAAAACGAGTCATATTCATTTCACATTATGGAGAACCCGCGCAGAACAGAAAAAATAGATGAAGAATTCAACAATTTCATGTTGAAAGTGAATGAAGTTGAGAGCATAGTGAAAAAGCTCGCATCGAAAGATAAACAAATGCAAAAAATTGGAAACATAGAGGCAGAGAAATATCTAGAACAAACCAGTGAAAGAGTTGTTGAAAATATCGATTCTGAAGAAACTATTCTGACGATAAAGACAAACAGAACTGTCATCAACAAAAAATGTATAGACAATGCCAATAAGGACCGTGCCACTCTCTCACAAGGTATTTTATTTTTCCTGATGAGTATACCTTGAAAAAGCCATCAATTCACCATAAACCCTGAATTGTATCACCCTGTATTAATAGGACAGGGTCCTCATCTCAAAATTTTTGAAAAATTCTCAGAGGAACTAGAGGTCACGGAAAATTCAAGGCCACACTTATTTTTTTATGTAAATAATGAGTGAATGCGTTATTCAAAATTGGAGCTCATTCCACCGTCATGGTCACTATTTGGCGATACGTCGAATAAATGGTGACGTCAGCTTTTATGCTGTTTCGTTATTGGTCAGATAATCTTCCAATCACCAATTATAATCAAGTCATCGAAAAGATGTAAGAGTCCTGTCGTTGAATGAAACATAATTCTATTCGAGGAATGAAAAAATCAGTCAACTCGCCTATTCTCAAAATTGAAAGTATTTCTTGTAAATATACAGGGTGTTTCACAGGTAAAGGGAAATATTTCAATGGTAGATAGGGGTCACCAAGGTGGTTCTGAAAATACCATATTTGATAGGTCTTGGAGTTTTCATAACGGAGATACAGGGCGATTTATCGATTTCGAATAATTATTCATTCGTCTATAAGTATGGAACTACCCAGTATATTTTTCTAAAATTTGGTATGGAGCTCAAACTTGGGACGTTGAATTCATTCACCTATCGGGCGAAGAGAAAATCCAGGTTCGGCTTCAGGAAAAATTCACATTTATTCGAAATATTGAAATAACACACTGTATGTAATAATTGACAGAGTTCATCAAAAGAATCGTGAAGAGGAGGAAAAACTGAACTGGATTTGATGCTTTTTGTTTTCCCGCCACCAATTCTCATCGTAACAATCATAAACAGAAAGCTGAAAGTATGTCAATTTGAAGAGTATTGAAATTATGAAACCAGTGTCAATTATGATTATTCGATATATTTTAGTCAAAAAATCGCTCGAAAGAACTTACTTAGTCTCACAGTTTTTATAACGGAGATACAGGGTGAATTATCGGTTTTGAATAATTATTCACTCGTCCATAAGTATAAAACTAACCAGTAACATTTTCTCAAATATGGTATGTAGCTTTACTTGGGACGATGGATTCATTAACCTATCAGGCGGAATTATAATTCGATAATTCACCCTGTATCTCTGTTATGAAGACTATGAGACTTTTCCTGAAGCTGAACCTGTATTTCCATTCTGCCTGATAGGTCAATGAATCCATCGTCCCAAGTAAGCTCAATACCAAATTTGAGAAAATATTACTGCGATGGGTAGTTTAATACTTATGGACGAGTGATAATTCACCCTGTATTTCTGTTATAAAGACTGTGGTGAGACTAAGTATGTTCTTCCGAACGATCATTCAACAAAAATATATCAAATAATCATAATTGAAAGTGGTTTCATAATTTTAATACTCTTGAAATTGACATACTTTTAGCTTCCTGTTCATGATTGTTACGATGAGAATTGGTGGCGGGAAAAGAATAAGCATCAAATCCAGTTCAGTTTTTCCTCCTCATCACGATTCCTTTGATGAACTTTGTCAATTATTACATACAGTGTGTTATTTTAATATTTCGAATAAATGTAAATTTTTCCTGAAGCCAAACCGGTATTTTCACTTCGCCCGATAGGTGAATGCATTCAACGTCCCATGTTTAAGCTCCATACCAATTTTTAGAGAAATATACTGGGTAGTTCAATACTTATAGACGAATGAATAATTATTCAAAATCGATAAATCGCCCTGTATCTCCGTTATGAAAACTCTAAGACCTATCAAATATGGTATTTTCAGAACCACCTTGGTGACTCGTATCTATCATTGAAATATTTCCCTTCACCTGTGAAACACCTTGTATTTTACATTCCTAAGGAATATTCTATGTTTATTGAGTGCTATCTGTGATAGGTTTTCCAGAGTTTTTTTCGAAGTACCTATCAAAAATATCTTTTCAGAAGCATTCATGGGAGAAGTATCGAGAGATGCCGACAAGAGATATAAAGATAAATTAGTGAGGAAAGAAAAAATGGAAACGTTCAAAAAACAAGCGAATTTAGCCTTCAGAAGAGGAGAGTTCGAAAAATCTTTGATACTTTACGACAAGGTGAGAATTGACATATTAGAGAATTTCTTCCCTTATTCTCTGATTTGAGTCATTTTGTTTATATAGGTATTCATAATTTTCATCGAACTTGTCAATTACAATCTTCAATTTTTCATGATCGCTCAAAAGTCGGTACTGATTTGATTCTTTTTTTCTATTTTGCGATTCGAATTTTTTTATTTAAGGAGTGCCAAAAGATAGTACAGATAAAACCCTTCAATTTTCATATTTGAAGTTTTTTTTACCTCGTATAGTTGAAGCTGTAGGTAGGGGTCAAAATATAGGGAGACACCCTGTACAGTGCATCCTAATTTGGTTGAGTCTACCAGGTTTCTCGATTGTTATTGAAGATAGAGTCTTGCGAGTTTCACATTCCTCTCCTTGTTTTTGTGAATCTTGAGATATATACAGGGTCATTCAAAATTCGATGTAAATATTTTGAGGACATATTTTTGGGATCAAAATAAAACTTTTTCATCGCATAAACATGTGTCCTAATATTCACCCAATTTTTGTAACATAATATATTACCTAGTTTGTCGAGCAAAAAAAATATCAATCACAATTTCTCAGCCTACTGCGATCACAAAAACTACTGCGAAATCCAAGAAAACAGATCAGGCTTTTATTTATTTCGAAATGGAAATCGATTCGGAGTAGCCACAAATATTCCAATATCAATTTTCAAAACAACACCTCATAAGGGGTGTTTTTCCAATTCATTAGGTGGTATGATAATTCTTTCAAGAATTTGAATAATACCAGCTTTCAAATGAAGTTTCCGTTTTGGCGCTGGAAGATTTAGGGCAAACCTTTTTTTTTGGTGTCATAGTGACATTACGGGATTTTATATACCTACATAAATGAAATTGTCTTCAGTTTTCAGGAATAGATTAGATCCTAGTTACGCGTTGAATTAAATAAGATTCATTTTGTGAATCTTAATATCAATTTTGATTGAAACACTGAATTTTCTTCTATCGTAAATACCATCATTACCCCCCCATTTTATACGCGCCTCAGATAGGCAATCAGTTACAATATAATTCAGATATTGCCGTGGCACTTGATATCTCCAAGGAATTCGATCGAGTCTGGCACCACAGACTCCTCGCCAAGCTTCCATCTTATGGCTTGCCTCCCCAGCTATGTTCTCTGCTAGCTAGTTTTCACTCAAACAGGTCTCTCCATGTAGTGGTCGACGGAGTTTCATCTGACTCTCTTATCATAGATGCTGGTTTTTCGCAAGAATCAATTCTAGCATCAACACTATTTCTACTCCATATCAACGATTTATTGGAAGCAACTTCATGTCCAGTACACAGCTTCGCGGATGATAGTACCCTCCATACCGCCTTCTCTTCCATGGCTCCAATACCAGCCAGGCAAATCAGAAACGAACGAGGGAGAAATGTTTGCAACATAAATATGAACTTGGAAACAATTCTCGAATGGGGATCCAATAACTTGGTAGATTTCAATGCAAACAAAACACAAGCATTCCTTTTCTCTAGAAAAGCCGATCTCACTGTGCCCAACATAAGCTTGTCAGGAGAAACCATTCCTTTGAAGACATCCATTTCGATGCTCGGTATTACTATCAGCAATAACCTTTCTTGGAAAAATCACGTGAGGTCAATTGCTAAAAGTGCATCCCAAAAACTTGGTTTTCTGTTTCGGGCCAGGAGCTATTTCACTTCCAGTCAACTGCTTATGATCTATAAGGCACAGATCCGACCTGTCCTGGAGTACTGTTCCCATATTTGGAGTGCAGCACCCAAACATACCCTGAAACTGTTGGATTCTGTCCAAAAAAGGGCAATTCGTCTCGTGGGTGATGCCTCGCTCACAAACTCACTCACTTCTCTGGAACACCATAGAAAAGTTGTCGATCTGGCTCTATTTTATAGATACCTTCGTGGTCACTTTGGAGACCTGCAGAACATCTCTTTCCAAAGACTCGTTCATCCAACGAACAGCGAGGCTCTGGAACATATTGCCAAGGGAGCCAAGGGAAGTGTTTCCCGAGGCATATAACCTCCAGAAATTTAAGAAGAACACCAATTCCTACCTTAATTATTTCCGATGATAATGAAAAAAAATTTCAGGCTATAGATCAAATAAAAGATAGCTGCCTCTTGTATAACAACAGAGCCCTAACTTGCATCAATCTGGGGCTGTACCAGCGGGCCAAGGAAGACTTGAAATGGGCCCTGCGGTTGAACGAGGATTGTCTGAAATCGTGGTTGCTCTTGGCTAAAGTCCATTTTCAAGAGAAGAATCACGAAGAGTTTGCTGCGGCGATAAAGGAGGCGATAGATAGGAATCCACGAGATGCAAACTTCATCAAAGGTACTTATATACAGAGTGTTTCGAAATTTCGACCGACTACGCTTGACAGACAGAATAAAAAATCTATAAGATTCGTCACAAAATATAAGTGTGAACTGGAGAAATATATTTTATCAATTTAACTCTCTCCTTGTATCAATTAATTCTGATTGAACTGTTTATCTTTCATTGTATTGCATATTTGATTTCATTTCATTTTATTTCTTTTTGTTTCCCTCATTATTATTATAATATTGATTCGACGATGGTAGAGGTTTTTAGGTTGGCAACTTGGAGCAAAGTCCCCTATTGGCAGTTTCCATTCATAATTTGAGGTACATTTGAGGAATATTATGAGTTCATGGAATTGATCGCGTCTGGTACGAAGTCCTTTCTATACAGTTATTACTTCACATACAGATATCGTCGATTTAAATAAAATCATACACTGTTATCACTATCAATATTGTCCAGTCATTATATCCAAATAACGGACCTTACCCGTGAATAATTTTTTAGTGGTTTTTTTTTCATAGGTGTCTCGGGGGGGTCACTGGGAGTGTAAATTCAAAATGACGACCAAATCAAGCTTTTGCGTATGTTTTTTTTTGTTAAAAAACGGTTTTTCTTGAATAACTCGGCCATTTTTGATTCTACAGAAAAAGTTTGGGAACAAAAATTGTAGTAAATTTGGTTCTCTACAAGTTTGGTCCCTACGATTCTTCTGATAGGATCGATATTTTGTAAAGTAAACCTGAAAAAAGCGACAATTTCGAAATATTTTCATTATCTCGTTTATTTTCAACTTTACGGCATAAATGAACAGAAACAAACTTGTAGAGAATCAAATTCTGGACAAATTTTGTCTCCACCTGTTTTTCCGAAAATCGATATTTTCGAAATTAAACCTAAAAAAAAACGACTCATTCGAAATATCATCATTATCTCGTTTATTCTCAACTTTACACCATGAATGAGAAGAAACAAACTTGTAGAGAATCAAATTTTGGACAAATTTGGTCTTCACCTGTTTTTCCGAAGATCGATATTTTCGGAATTTAACCAGAAAATATGTACCCATTCAGAAATATTCGCAATATCTCCTCTTTTTCAATTCTGCAGGTGCAAAGAATAGGGCGAAAGTTGTATACAATAACATGAAAATGATAATGAAAATATTTCGAATTTGTCGCTTTTTTCAGGTTCAATTTACAAAATATCGATCCTACCAGAAAAATTGTGAGGACCAAACTTGTCGAGAACCAAATTTACTACAATTTTTGTCCCCAAACTTCTTCTGTAGAATCAAAAATGACCGAGTTATTCAAGAAAAACCGTTTTTTAACAAAAAAACCAGTTTTCGAACATACGCAAAAGCTTGATTTGGTCGCCATTTTGACTTTACACTCCTAGTGACCCTCCCCAGACACCTATGGAAAAAAAACACTAAAAAATTATTCACGGGTCAAAGTCTATAATGACTGGACTAATATTAGTATTAAGTTTGTATTGGTATAATCATTATTTTTTAGTATAATATACAGGGTGTCCGCTAGAAGGAGGTCAATCCATTAACCACATATTCCTTGAACAAAAACAATATGAGTTTCTAAATACCATTTTTCATTTTAGCCCTTCATATTCGATATACAGGGTGTCAAAGTTGGAAATTAAAAACTGTTTTTTTCTAATTACTCACGTATTTGATAAGATATTAATCCCAAAATTGAGACATTACTTCAGCACAAAGAGTTACATCGTGTGAGGAGAACAAAACAGAAAATAATTGTCAAATATTCAAAATACTGGGGGTCAAGTACACACTGACCCCCATATTTTTTTTGTACGTGCGCTAATGACTTCCTATCTATTTTCCTTCAAGTGTTCAATCATTTTTGAGTATTTTTTGTTTCTTGTAAAATTTTGATTAAATCATTTGTTTTTAAGATAATTCGAAAAGTACTGGTTAATGTTTGGTGCCTATGCGGCTTATGGCAATCTCATAATGTTCACATACTCCTATTTATTTCGTCGAAATTGGAAGAGGGCGTATCTTATTACGTACGGAAAGGTAAATATGGAAATACCGGGTGCTCAGAGCAAATGTATTGAAATAATTTTTACACCTTTTTTTTTTTTTTTTTTTTGTTGTAAAAATGATTTATAATACATTCGCTCTGAGCACCCGGTATTTCCATATTTACAATTTCGTACGTAAAAAAATACGCCCTCTTCCAATTTCGACGAAATAAATAGGAGTATGTGAACATTATGAGATTACCATAAGCCGCATAGGCATCAAACAATAACCAGTACTTTTCGAATTATCTTAAAAACAAATAATTTTATCGAAATTTTACAAGACACAAAAAATACTCACAAATGATTGAACACTTGATGAAAAATATATAGGAAGTCATTAGCGCACGTACAAAAAAAATATGGGGGTAAGTGTGTACGTGACCCCCAGTATTTTGAATATTTGACAGTTTTTTTCTGTTTTGTTCTCCTCACACGATGTAACTCTTTGTGCTGAAATAATGTACCAATTTTGAGATTGATATCTTATCAAATACGCGAGTAATTAGAAAAAAACAGTTTTTAATTTCCAACTTTGACACCCTGTATATCGAATATGAAGGGCTAAAATGAAAAATGGTATTTAGAAACTCATATTGTTTTTGTTCAAGGAATATATGGTTGATGGATTGACCTCCTTTTAGCGGACACCCTGTATAATTATCATCACTTACTACATGTTGCACTTGAGATAAGTACTCCGAAATGTTGAGAAACATGTAATTAGGCTTTGCCTGTTTGTTTCTACTAATAAATAAATAAATAAATAAATAATTATGAATCTTTCCAGAATACGCCGAGGACTTGGAAAAGGCAACGCGGGCTCCTCCATCCACAAACGACGACGATGCATCTCAACAGAGATTATAAATCTCTGATCTCAAGTGGCCCATTAGGAAGCCAGGCCGGCCGGATCTAAACATTTTCCGTCTATTTGCGCCCGAGCTTCAGTTTGATACGTCTGATCCGCTGCGACCACACGTGTACCCCTTTTTCCAATTTGATACGTTGTTATACAATGTAATTTGAAACGGTCGTCTGACCTACTTACTAATTTTATGTCTGGTTGTTTTCTACTTGTTAGATTTGAGCACTTGTCTAGGACCAGTCTAGCGACACCACCAATTATTACAGCGTTTTTCTCTAGAGAATAAGAGAGTGTTCTCAAGAAATTCTTTCAGAATTGAAGATTAATTGTCTCATCATTACTACAGTATGATCAGAAAAATTAAACACTTTTCGGTGGAGGTACAGTCCCATTCAAAAAAAAGTGTACAAGTATTGAAAAGGAATATTCTCAGATAAATTATGAACATACAAAAATGGATATATATTTATATAAAGCAATACATTGAGAATTCGCATTCTCTATGTGATGAGAATATTTACTCTTTTTCAGTTAATTCAATAGAAAACAACTACTTTCCTGGCTATATGCCACGACGAACATTGAATTATATCTATTGAACACACACGATAAGAGTTTGAAAATAAAATATAAAAATTTCTGAAATTGAGAATTTGCATTCTCCTTCAGACAAAAATATGTATATACACATATTCTGAATATTCAACAGAAAACAACTACTTTCCTGGCTATTTGCCACGTCGAACATTGAATTATATCTGATGAACATTCAAAAGGGGAACATAAAAAATAAAGAATAAAATCCTCCGAAATTGAGAATTGACATTCTTCTTCAAATCGGATGAATAATATGATGAATAATGATCTAGAAATATGACTTACCAATATATTCAGCATTGAAATGAAAATTGGAATGTATAGGAGAAGTATACTGGCATGAACTCTGATCTTGATGAGCTTGAAAACGTCCAAAAATAATCATTCATATCAGTGATATAGGAAATATTATCTCTCACACACAGGTTATATGACTTTATTGCAATGAACCCATTTCGGATCTCTGAATCCTCATCAGTAACCATGATGTCCACTTATTCTTACAGCCATTCTTCATGATATACACAATTTTCACTTCTATATAAGAATAAGTGGACATCATGGTTACTGATGAGGATTCAGAGATCCGAAATGGGTTCATTGCAATAAAGTCATATAACCTGTGTGTGAGAGATAATATTTCCTATATCACTGATATGAATGATTATTTTTGGACGTTTTCAAGCTCATCAAGATCAGAGTTCATGCCAGTATACTTCTCCTATACATTCCAATTTTCATTTCAATGCTGAATATATTGGTAAGTCATATTTCTAGATCATTATTCATCATATTATTCATCCGATTTGAAGAAGAATGTCAATTCTCAATTTCGGAGGATTTTATTCTTTATTTTTTATGTTCCCCTTTTGAATGTTCATCAGATATAATTCAATGTTCGACGTGGCAAATAGCCAGGAAAGTAGTTGTTTTCTGTTGAATATTCAGAATATGTGTATATACATATTTTTGTCTGAAGGAGAATGCAAATTCTCAATTTCAGAAATTTTTATATTTTATTTTCAAACTCTTATCGTGTGTGTTCAATAGATATAATTCAATGTTCGTCGTGGCATATAGCCAGGAAAGTAGTTGTTTTCTATTGAATTAACTGAAAAAGAGTAAATATTCTCATCACATAGAGAATGCGAATTCTCAATGTATTGCTTTATATAAATATATATCCATTTTTGTATGTTCATAATTTATCTGAGAATATTCCTTTTCAACACTTTCATACCCAATCAGGGGGTTCAAACTTGAACGATGGAAACTTGTGATTTTTATAGACCTCTAATCGCAGATTCGTGATAGGATCTCAATTCAGAATTCATTTCCACGCCCTGTATGATGAATGTCAATTTATCATACACCCAAAAGCATGTACAAGTATATTGGAGGGAGAAATTAAAGTCCTCCTATTTGCCTAAAACGGGCTATCAGGAATGAATGTTTAACAAATGTTTACAGTAGAGTAATCATAAGCATTTGCTGAGCCAGTTTTACACAACTAGAACTCCCGAAATCCTCTCTTTTTAATACTTGTACGCTTTTTTATTGAATACGACTGTATATTACCGGGTAAAAAATCTTGACGGATAATAAACATGATTATTTTCATGAAAATGAAGTTTTTTCATAATGTTTGAATTATCCCAATGTACCATTTAGGCATTTAGTCAGAATCGATAGTTATTTATTATACATGGGAAAAAAGTAGTAGATTTTAGGTCCAGGTTGTTTTGTTTTCCAACGCGTAGCGGAGGCAGACAAAAAACCGTGAGCTAAAATCTAGTATTTTTCCCGTGTATAATCGTCACTATTTTTTTCTGTGACAGAAGAAAGAACGAATCAATATTGAGAAGATATTAAATCATTTTGAAATCTGAAAATTATCGACGTGAAATTTCTGGAGGAAGCAACTCAGGATTATTCTGAAAAGTTGGTGCCTTGAATAATTTGTTGTGTTCTATCGACCTAAAATATTCTCTGCAATGCGACGTTGCCGTTTATATTGAAAAGTAGCAACAACTTTCATTTTTGAAATGGGACACCCTGTATATTATTCCATTTTCAGATCCTTCCTGAAGAGCTGATTTCATGGACCTATAACAATTGGGGTCTAGCTAGCAGTGATGATTACAGAGTTATAGGATGTGAAAAATCGAGATTTTTCAACTTTAGGAATTTTTCGTGTGGAAATTATTCATAATTGGTCAAAACGGTTTCCATAACCCTATCTTAACTTTTCACGTACTATCAATTGATATTAAATTGAAATATATACAGGGTGGTTCAGAATTAAGATTTTTTACCACCCTGTACCTACCTATTTCAATTATATATCAATTGATAGTACGTGAAAAGTTAAGATAGGGACATGAAAACCGTTTTGACCAATTATAAAAAGTTTCGACACAAAAAATTCTTGAAGTTGAAAAATCTCGATTTTTCACACCCTATATCTTTATTATCATTCCCGCTGGACCCCAAGTGTGATGGATCGATGAAATCAGCTTTTCAGGGAGAATCTGAAAACGGAATGATACACAGGGTGTCCCATTGAAAAAATCAAAGTTGTTGCTACTTTCCAATATAAGCGGCAACGTCGCAGCGCTGAGAAAATTTTAGGTCGATAGAACACAATTGATTATTCAAGGCACCAACTTTTCAGAATAATCCTGAGTTGCGTTCTCGAGAAACGTCTAATTTGCCATCCACCGTGAATCAGCCTGTATATGTGATATATTAGGAAGAAAGTAATTCATGAAAAGTGACATTTCATAACCGGTCAACAGAGATGTAATTTCAATTTTTTTTCACGTCGCAGGAAAAATAATATCATATCAACTGTATTATTGCTGTAGAAGAAGGTACTTGAATATAAAACCAAAATGCTTGGAAAAAATATTTATTTGAAAGAAACTATTTACATTCATTACAATTTTAATCATTTCTTATTTGCATTTTTTGTATAAAATGATCGCAAGACAACTATTAAGAACAAACACATTAAAAAAATTCAAACTTCTTAAAAATGGTCAATTCAAATATGGAAATATGTTACTGGTGTTGAAAAATAGAGGGTTTCTAGAGGGGACTATCAGTAGTAGTTGTTGTGAATTGTCACAAAATGACATACATATTTCGTTATTGAGAATTAATGACTACAGACGATTACAAAAAAAACGCTAATCACTACAAAATGAAAGCATTTGAAATATTTTATCACATATATTAAAATCAGGCAAGGAAATAGAGATCTACAGTAATTAAGTACCGATAAGAACTAACAATAGCAAAGTACACCTGATTCTTTGGTTTCATCAACAAAATACACCACTTTTTCAGGTCAATCCGCGGTTTTTAATAAGATTCTGTTAAAATTTCAAATATACTCCACAACGTTTTCAATTAACAGCAAAAAAAGTAGCGTGAACATGTATCATGTTAAAAATGTTAATGACATTATGTCACTTTAACAAAAAAATGTTGAAGTGATTCATCTCTCAATATCTTTTTGTATTCATTATCATCATTCAACACACTGTACTGATGAATAATAAAGAATAGTGAACACTACGAAACATTATTGTCATTAAGGACACCTTTTGATAGCAAGATAATAATCATCATTTATACTATAGTATAAATCATTATTATTGCATCATATCCTTTGATTTGAGATCGTAGAGACTGGCATGACGAATATAACGGAAGTTATAAGGGGTACCGAGAGTTGCCTAACATGAAAACAACACATGTTCACACTACTATAATTGAAAACAGTGGAAGAATTATTGATAGTTTCTTTTTTTCTATCTCTTCAGTTGAAAATTACTCTTGAAATGAATGCGAAAAGGACACCAAAAAATCTATAAAGGCAACTAACTAGATAAAACAATACAGTTTCTTCACACATACAAAGTACTAAAATCATGGCATATTTGAATTATTTACAAATCAGTCTGGGAAAACCTAACCCTTCTCTGCTTATCCTCCACGCTCTCCGAATCGCTCAAATGCCCGTCCAAACTTTGTACCATCGAACTAGTAAAACTAAACCTATCCGAACCGTTCTCAGTAGAATCGCTCACAATCGAACTACTGTCCATATCCAAGATCTTGTTGGCGCTGACAAACTTGACATCCCCTTCCAAAACGACATAAATACCTTGCTTGTTACCTCCGACGTAACGGAACTTCTCCAACTCTAACCTCACAAAGTCCAGACCGTTGGTGGCCTCATTCACGCTGGAATTGCAAGTTTCCTCGGAGATTTTCAGGATTTCGATGGCGGCGAACTGGATGACGTACAGGTAGGGTCGATTGAAGACGAAATCCAGGGGTAGGTGGGTCGATTTCAGTTCGCCGTTTCGCGTCGACCGGCCATATTCGTCGACGAAGACAGAGAATTCGTTGAAACACAACAAGTACTCTTTGGGGTTTTTGCAGATTTGCGTGATTGCCAGCGGATAGGACCCCATTTTGTAGCATCTGGAAATGATATCCAAGATGACACACCCACTCATTTTCAAATGAAATACGAAAATGTTCCTTCATATTGTTTTCGTGGTAGCAGCTTCAAGTGTTAGATGGTACACCCTGTATATTATCAGGGATTATGATTATGAAAACAACAAGACAGGACTACTCCTAGCCTCAGAGGTAGAACACGAGCATTTAACTCATGGGTTTCAACATTTGGCGCCCGAGCAGGGACTAACAAATATTTGATAATCTTCAGAAAAAGCATCAGAAAAATTGGAATATGGACAACGCAAAGGTTATTGAAACAGATTTTGTATGATAACGAAAATGAACGCATAATAGTAGATAATTAATCACGGAAATGGGAGGAATGAAGATAATAAAAGTGGAGTAAAAAAAGTGGCAATAGTGAATACAGAAATAAGAGTATAGCAGAATGATATGGCAGAAGAAGTGGAAAGATTGTGTACATGATAGATTTGGAAGAGATAGTAGGTTTGCAGCAAGGATAAAGGTATTTGGAAATAATTGAAGACTATTGGTTGAATGCAGAGGGTATATGATCGAGCCAGATTCAACACCAAATGATTGGCTGGAATTGTGGACTGCTATTGTTCAAAATAACACGTTCGAGACATTTTGATATATGTAATTATCGATTTAATTATCATTTCTCACCTCTCGGCCTGCTTCAATTTCGCATCGGAAACGTCCAAAAACTCCTCCGCCCTGTAAGTGGCCAAATCGATTTCAAAAAACTTATCGGCCCCCACAATCAGGCTGTTTTCGGTGAACAATGCGCAACCGGTAGGCTCGGCAGTATCCAAAATCCTCGCCGGCACGAAATCCCCATTCGTGACGTCATAGTTCAATATGATCAACTGCTTAGCGGTGGCCGTGCATATTTTCGGCTGTCCTGCCAAAGTAGAGACCTGCAAATAGAGAGCAACTGATGAGATCGAAACTGGTCAAAACAGTATCCCCAAATTTATAAGCACAGTACCTAGAGGAGGAGGAAGTTTGGATTTTTTGAGCAAAATTAGAACAGAAATTCGGTTTCTCAATATTTAAACTAGTGACCTCTATTCCGCCGAAGTTTTTCATTCGTTATCCTAACCTAAAGAGTTTTCAAATTCCTGTCAAGATCCAATTTTCTGTCGAGTTTATAATCAAAAATTTCTCATGTTTTAACATTAATTGTTTACACAAAAAAGGAAAGCAGGTGCATAAAGAGGACTGTTGTTTATGCAATGATAACATTATCGATTCATTGATGATATTTGAATTTGAGTAGGAACTGCAACCGACCCGACTAGCCAATCAGAGGCCAGCATTTGTTTGGAACACCACGGAAATATTACGGAACACCACGGAAATGTCACAGAACACCACGGAAATGTCACGGAACACCACGGAAATGTCACAGAAATGTCACGGAACACCACGGAAATGTCACAGAAATGTCACGGAACACCACGGAAATGTCACGGAACACCACAGAAATGTCACGGAACACCACGGAAATGTCATGAAACATGTGTGATGTTTTCGTGACATTCCTGTGACGTTTCCGTAGCGTTCCGTGACATTTCCGTGGTGTTCCAACCAAATGCTGGCCTCTGATTGGCAAGTCGGGTCACGTGGTTTGGAGAAAGGTGAAGGGGAGGGGCTAAACTGGAGAGACGGACTACCTACTCCGATAGTTTTTGCATCGGTGCACATACCTGCACTTTATGGAAGCCGTTGAGTCCCGAAATATCCACATGTTTGAACTTGAGCTTCGGCTTGCTGGACATAGTGCACTGGGCGAGATTGATCAGGTGGCTGAGGTCGCAAGAAATGAGGGTGCGTTTCTGGTCGACGATCATCAGCACCGTGCCGGTGGTGGACATGACGGATATTTGATGGACCTGAGACAATCCTGCGATGGCCGTGAAGGTTTTCTCGTGGTAGGAGTACAATCCTTGTTCGGTACCTGGAAGAAATGCATTTTCAGACGGATAATCGATACTAATATTATGAAGAAAAATGTCTCCCATAGTTGGTGCCCTGAGGAGATGTCCAAAACTTATCCCAAATATAGCAAATACCGTTCTATACTCTCACATCCTTAGTAAAATGAACTATCTCATAAACATTTGGGGTTCATGTTCCAAGAATAATTTCAACAAAATATCTGTACTATAAAAGAAAGTATTCAAAGTAGTGTCTCGTCTTCCATATGACATTCCATCAAATCAACTTTACGAAGGAACAAATTCCTTTTTATTTGGAAAAGCACTATCTGATGAATACTCTCGAAATTTCTTTCCATATCATCAACAAACACCTCAAATCTAACTTCATATTGGTAAGGAATTTTCAAATCCATGAACATCATACTAGACAATATGACTTGTTTCATCTTGATGCTGCTAATTCTACACTTGGCCAAAAAAAGTTTACTCACGGAGCTATCTCAAAATTCAATAAATTACCTGATGCTATCAAAAGTTGCACAAATATCACCCAATTCAAAATTGAAGTCAAGAAACATATCCTCTTGCAAAGCGAAAATCAAACCTGAGTGAATGATTTCTCCTTTACTAATTGATTTCATCATGTCAAAATGTACTTTTCATGAGCTTTTCGTTTTATTAGTATCACCACATGGAGCGATCTACCTAACATTGGATGAAGCTGAGGTGATAGTTTATGAAGAAGTCCTTGATACAAGACACGGACGAATGTTTTCGATATATCTAATGCCACAGCTAGTGATTCCCCATGTTTTTCTAATGAAGCTTGCCATATATGGGTAACGAAGGCAAGTAACTCTCTAGTGAATCATCAATGATTCCTGAGCATTCCAGATATTTGATAAGCCCAATGTTGATGGCTTTCTCCATCCCTTAAGAGATAACTGATGATAGGGAAATGGGCAAGGGTTTCTTTCCTTTTTGGGGATTGGTTGGACTCTAGCTATTTTCCAGCAGGATGGAAAAACATATCTGGTGCACACTGTTTGATAAAGGGCGGAATTCCATCAGAACCGTTTGAGACCAAGCAGAATGCGTTTGATAGTGCGTTGATGAAAGACGAATTCGGGTGTAAAAACAAGTCCGTGAGTTTTTTCTAAAAAAATTAGAACATCTTGTATATTTGAGATTTATTTGCAATCAACCTTATTGACCGCTTACTCACCTATTACTTTGATGTTTTCTGTTAGATCCACAATGCAGGTGACATCCAAATCCTCTGGAGGCGTGAAAACTTTCTCGAACTTGGGCTTATCCAGGTCATCATAGTAAATTTTTTGTAAAGCTAGTATGAACAAAATATTATCATTAATTAGCAGAAATACAAAAAGCACCGAATGAAAATTTAATAGGGAATTTTTCGAACATTCCTCAATTTATTCTACTATATTATAAGCTCTATCTTATAAATCAACCAGTTTTCAGGTGATGGAAATATCAATTCTTTTTCGGTTTATTCAACAAAAAACAACTACTTTCCTGGCTATATGCCACGACGAACATTGAATTACATCTATTGAACATACATGATAGGAATTTGAACATAAATTCTTCTGAAGTCGAGAGTTTGCATTCTCCTTCATATAAAGATATGCACATAATATATATATAAAAAATAATGGTCCCGTTCAATTAATTATAAGTGGAAACATTCTGAAATGAAAAGGAGGGATTGAAGTTCACACTTCACTGTCACGACACACATACCTAAGAACCACTTGTCCTTATCTTGCGCCGACAACGTCAAGATGATCAGCGACTTCGGGGGCCAGCAAGTCGTATCGGGAGCCACTTCGACCTTCAAAATGAAGGCCAAATCGCTGTTGGCGACCGGAGCCCCGATCTCAGCCAGCAGCGGTTCGGATACCACTTTTCCGTGGCTGCCGTCGGGCTTCAGGGGAAAAGTTCGTACCGGAGAGGCGGTTTTATCTGCCGGCGGGGCGGTGTAGATGTTGATCGAGGTGTCTGTGAGGACGGCGTAATGTTTTTCCCAGTTATTGGATTTCCTGGAATAGTTATTTATGTACCAAGGACGAAGAACTCTCTACTATAGTCGAGCCTGCGAATCGATAGCCGAGGCGCCAGTCTATGCACTTTATCTATACAGTCTGTCCAAGATAAGGTTGAACAGCATGGGGATCTCGAAAACGGTAAGAGATACGAAATCGGTTATGGGGAAAAAGTTGCGCATTCGGAGGCTCATATCAAGAGCCTTCGAAAATTTTGAAAATTATTTTTAGTTTTTGAGTTATATCGAAAAGAGTGAATTTTTGGAATTTCTATTTCATTTTTTTCTCCGTTATTATTAGAGATACAGCAAAACTGAGAATACTTTTTCATAGCAACTTTTGACAGTCAATGTGGTGATACCGATTTTTTCATGCGACGTTCCGTATTCGTGGAACCATCATCAACTTTTGTTTTTTAAATACGGTCCTGATAATTTTTTCACAGATTCTAAAAGGTTTTTTTATTCTGAATCCAACCATGTATTAAACAAGGTGGTTCATTTGTGTTTCGACCCATTTTTGGCCATCATCAATGTTTTTTCGAAACTCCAAAGGAAAAATGCCATCAGTTCCACTTATTTTGAAGGAAAATTAGTCAGCACACTGATACCTCATCAACTGGTTTCAATCAACAACCCATTTCATTTTGCGGAAACAAAAATTCCATCCATACAAATTCAGAATATGTCAAGCGCTAAAACCAGGCGATGACGAAAAGCGCAAGACATTCTGTGAGTGGTGTACCAGGAAATGTTAAAATTTTGCAGATTTCTTTCGAACAATCATCTGGACTGATGAAAGCATGGTCACTAATCATGGTAGCTTCGATAGAAAAAATACACATTATTGTTCACGAGAAAATGAACATTTATACATTACAGCGAGACACCAACACCGTTTCGGCTTTAATATGTGGGTTGCAATATTTGGTACACGAATTATTGTTCCTTCTATTTACCATGAAACACAGACTTCCGAACGTTATAGAAATTCGCTTGAGAATCATCTTGAGGAAGCTCTGGATGATTTACCGATTGCGGAAGTTCAGAACTCTGTTGGTTTCAACAAGATGGCGCTCCGGTACATAATTCCAGAGAAGTCCGTGCGTTTTTATCCCTTGGCCGGCGCGGTCGCCTGATTTGACACAGATGGATTTTTCCTTAGGGGATATATCGAACTTTGTACACGCAAATAACTTTGAGGATGAAGAAGAACTAAGGGACAGTGTCTTCGAAGCATTCAATAGAATAACCCCAGAAATGCTTAGCAATGTCTTAGAAACAACTGTGAGAAGAGGATATCTTTGTTCAGAAAATAATGGTTATCATTTTGAACATTTGTTATGAATGTCTCTGTAGGTATTGTCAAAGTTAAGTTGATAAAGTAATTCGTGTAAGAATTCATCAACAATGTTAAACGCTGCATTGATCGAATGATGTAGTGAAATATTTTTTATTCACTTTTCAGTATTGAATAACTAATCCATCAAGTTTGACACTAAATGATAAGAAATAAGTGGAACTGATGGCTTTTTTTCTTTTGGAAGTTCGAAAAAACATTGATGATGGATAGAAATAGGTCGAAACACATTCGAATCACCTTGTATAGTACATTGTTGAATTCAGAATAAAAAAATCTTTCAGAATCTGTGAAAAAATTATCAGGACCGTATTTAAAAAACAAAAGTTGATGATGGTTCCACGAATACGAAACGTCGCATAAAAAAATCGGTATCACCACGTTAAACCTCATCAAAAGTTGCAATGAAAAAGTATTTTCAGTTTTTCTGTATCTCTGATAATAACGGAGAAAAAAAATAAAATAGAAATTCCAAAAATTCACTTTTTTCGATATAACTCAAAACCTAAAAATAATTTTCAAAATTTTCGAAGGCTCTTGATATGAGCCTCCGAATGCGCAACTTTTTCCCCATTTAAGCGACTTCGTATCTCCTACCGTTTCCGAGATCCCCATGCTGTTCAACCTTATCTTGGACAGACTGTAGACAATAGTTTGTTTTCCCCCAGTTTGAAGTTCGTATTATGTAACCTAGATGTCGCCCACTTCGTGAATCTCGCGAATATTATCCTGGTCAAAACAAAAAACCTCTGCCATAAGGACGTAGCCAGTTCTATACTCCACTCACCCAGGTATCTTGATCCACCCCTCTACATTGACGACTTCCTCCTTGTCGAGGGGTTCGGTCGTTTTCCCCGACTTTGCCGGCTGCAAGCTGTCCACGTAATGTTGGGCGAACACTTGGGGCAGCCCGCACGTGTTCGGCACGTCCTTCTTGCAGCCCACGTGACACTGGACGTTGCACTCCACGCATGCGGCCACGGGGCGACTCACCCCCGACATGGGCCTCGAACAGGCGACGCAGGTGGTGGATAGCACGCCGTATTTTTGCACGAATCTAGAAGATAAATAGGTGTACTTTTAACATCAACATTGCACATCCTGTATAAGGATGGTAGGAAATTTCTAAGAAAAATGATTTGCAGATGAATGAAAACAATTCTGAGAAATGAGGGAACTCCTGAACTTTTTGGATTATGTAACACTATTTTTGATCACTTGGTATGTCACAACTGGAATACTTTGATAAGTGTCAAACAATGTATCCCAAGAAGAAGTGATGCATCTGAACACTGCATTCCGATTGAAATCGGTTAATTTCCAAAATTATCATCGCATCTTGAAAAACGTCAACAATTTGTGTGATCCACTTGTTTCAGCAGTTTATATCGGGTGGTCACAAAAAACCGGAAGTTTTTATTTTCCTCGTGGTTTCATCATTTCTCAACCGAATTCGAATTTCTTGGCGTCGTTTCATAGCCAAAGGGCTATAGTATACAGTGGACTATTTGAAAATTTCATAATGAATAAAAGCAAAATGGCGAACTCTACCAAAGTATTGTCATTTACAAAAACCGCTGGAGAAAAAGAAAATCAGATTTTTTCCAACCTGTACCGATGTCATCTTAGGCTATTCATTTCTGAAGAGAATGAGTACTCGAACATCGGAATCGAACAAATAGTCCAGTAGATACACTCATTTCTTTGCAATTTGTTATGGAGTGAATGTGCTAATCTCGAATAAACGATTATTATTATTTTGCTTCAGGCTTCATGAAAGTTCAATCGAATTTGGATTTCTTAGAGTTATTTCAAAGATAAGAAGAAAGAGAAGAAAGAACTGTAGTACACAATGGAACATTTGAAAATCCAATAATTGAAAAAAACAAAATGGTGGAGAATCCAGAATTTTTGTGATTTTCAAAAATCTCTGGCGAATAAAAAAATTTTTATTCTTCCAATCAGGACCGATCCAATTTTAGATCATTGATTTCTTAAGAGAATGAGCACTCGAACATCTGAATCAAACAATTAGTCCAGGAGAAACACGTTCTTTTTGGCAAAGTGTTATGGAGTGAATGTGCCAATCCCGTGATAAGAATTACTTTTAGTTTGCTCCTGGCTTTATCAGGATTAGATCGAATTTGGATTAATTAGTACACAGTGGAACATCTGAAAATTCCATAATTGCAAAAAAATTGAGTATCCCTGATTTGGGTGATTTTCAAAAACCGCTAGCGAATAGAAAAATGTTAATTTTTCAATTAACAGAGTTCCTTATCTAATCGAACCAACAATGTGGCCTCCAAATAACCCGGACTTACCGGTACCTTACAGGAACGGGTATTTACAAATGAAAGAAACTTCGAGAACTTGGAAGATTTGAAGCAAATAATTGATTATTGCGTGGAAAATGCAATGCTTCAGTTAGAAATAGCCTGGTCGATGCAGAGCTGGCTCAGTTCCGTAGTTGAAGCAAAAGGCAGACACATTCAGGTCATTTCAAAATTCGTTATGTTTTGACTACAACTAGTATAAAGTTTTATATATTTTCAGGGTTTCACGCAATCTTCATGGACTTACATCTCGATGTCAATATCAATCTTTTTCTATTCTCTAGCGGTTTTTGTAAATCACGAAAGTTAGGGTTACTCCACCATTTCGTTTTGTTTTCAATCATGAAATTTTCAGATGTTCCACTGTGTACTACACAGCTATTCAGCTTTGGAATGGCATTGAGAAATCCAAATTCGATTGAATTCTGATAAAGCCAGAAGCAAACTGAAAGTAATTCTTATCACGGGATTGGCACATTCACTCCATAACACTTTGCCAAAAAGAACATGTTTCTCCTGGACTAATTGTTCGATTCAGATGTTCCAGTACTCATTCTCTTCAGAATGAATAGCCTAAGATGACATTGGTACAGGTTGGAAAAAATCTGATTTTCTTTTTCTCCAGCGGTTTTTGTAAATGACAATACTTTGGTAGAATCCGCCATTTTGCTTTTGTTCATTATGAAATTTTGAAATATTCCATTGTATACTATAGCCTTTTAGCTATGAAATGACGACAAGCAATTCAAATTCGGTTGAGAAATGATGAAACCACGAGGAAAATAAAAACTTCCGGTTTTATTGTGACCACCCGATATATGTAAGAGAGTATCGTATCCAGGAGCTACGAACATATACGCCCTGTATATAGTGCTTGAAGATTAATGAGTGTCGATCTATTGATGACACATGGGGTTATGTAAAAGGTGACGGGTATTTTGGGTAGAATTTATCGATGTATGAGTAATATTAGGTAGTTAACAAGTAGCCGTGATACGGCTAGGTTGTATCTGATACCTAATGTGAATATAGTGGAAATCGTGAGGTTTTGTTTTGTTTTGTTTTGTAGAGCAGAGTATAGGATTGTAGATATAGCAATAACAGGCTCAGAAAGGCTATATTCTTAACTGAATAGCGGTCATATTATCAATTCAAGTGTCTTTTTTGTATTGAATTTTCTTACCTGTGTGGAATATTGTGATGCATTCGCTGCACGGAATTCTGCCTGTAGACGTCGCTCTTCTGTTTGCTGGGAGAATTAACGATTTGCTGCATAGCAACTCTGCTTTTGGGCGACAAAATCTCAGACTTGTGTCTGTCTACTTTTATGTTAGATTTTTCCGCCGTTTGAGCGTTTTCTGGTATCAGAGTGGCAGCTTTAAGCTTGTAGATTTCTTCGTGCAACTGCTTGTTTGTTTGTCTTTCTTTCAGGAGTTGCGTTTCTAAATCTTTGTAGTTCATTGCTAGCGACATGGGAGGTTGGTTTTCCTTCTTAGAACTACCGAACAGGACTTCCGTTAAGGTTCTTTTCTTGTTATTTTGCTCGTCAATCTAAAAAAATCATAATCCATTTTCTCTAATTGATTGACAGATAAGTTTTAATACCCCAAAAAACATATCTGTTTAAAAGAGGGATACATTAACACGTAAAAAAAAAACAGATTCATATACTTTTTCTCAAGATGAAAGTGCGAGTAATTGAATCATATCAAATTTTTTTCAATCAAATTATCCTGACCAGGTATTGCTTAAGATTGACTTAAAATCTCCTTACGACATGTATATTTTTCAATTCATTCAAAATGATCTAGCAACATAAACTATTATTTCCACATACATTCGTTTAACCCTTTGACTCACGGTGTCTACAATATTGTAGACACTAACTTTCAAGTATCTGTGGTAACAACAACTCGCTTCGTTTCGCGTTTCTACAACACTGAAGACATTCGTAGATGTCACTATACTCATATGTTAGCCAGTTAGCGGTGACATCTGTCAGATACAAGTAGTAATATATACCGCAGCGTGCTTCGTCCAACTTCGTTTTACATTCCATCCAGGTTAGTTCTTATAAATTCTACGATTATATCGAAACTTTCTGGCAATCCAATCAGTGCTATGTTATTTTTTAATCATAAATGATTCAACTTGATGCCTTTATATTTATGTTTGTGTAATATTCCGCCTAGGGATTGTGACTGGCCCCTAAAATCTCAAGTCTACAATGGTAGACGTTTGTATTCAACGAACTGATTATCTGTTTGAAACATACACTGAGGATGATATTTCATGCTTTAGATATGGCACTTATAAATTCGTGAATAGAGTACAGAAAAGACTCGCAGCTTGGTCGGTCAGCAAAAAAGATTCTAGAGTTTTTACACATCAGAATGGAAAAAGAGTAGGTGCTTATCAAACAAGTCAAAAATTACTTTTCTAGAAAGAAGGGAGATGTAAAAATGTTGGTTGGCAAGAGCAAGTCTTGATGGATTTGGGCCTTCAGAAAAATCGCAACAATTTCAAGACATTTCACACAAAGTTTGATTTGGATTGAACAGTCCTTTTCAGACTTGATTTCATGTAACTATTGTTTATTCATGTTTCAATAAATATCATAATTATGTTCCATTGACTACAAATGTCTACAATTGTAGACACCTTTTTTTTTCGTACTTCAAGGAGTGTTGATTCGAAAAAAAATTTCAAAGTGTTTACAAATATCAATTTTGACGATATTATGAACAAAAACAAAATTTCATATCTCAAAACAAGCACATGAGTCAAAGGGTTAATAATCGTTCAGTTTATTTCGGAATCTTCATATTATCGCTACTATTAACTAGAGTTCCTTGATGTACTTGACACTTTTGTTATGAGGTCTTTGTTTCAATTCAATTCACTCTATGTTTACTTCTATTTGTTTCCTGAAATCTCCACTCTTTTTTACTAGTAAATCTTGCATTTTTTAATATTTATGCTAATTTTCGATTATCAAGTCTTTTTCATGCAAAGTTTATTTGAAATGGGCTCTACTGTCGTTTATTATTAAATCTTCAGCCTGAAGTGCTGCACCTAATAGAAATTCCATAAATAATATTCTATATTCTCCGAAAAAATCCGAATATCTCGCAAGGTTTGTTGGCTGAATCTATATTCCATGCCGACCGCTTCATGTTTTATTTCCATTTTTCTAAGTGTTCTATTTGATAAAAGTTCCAATAAAGTGAATCAATTCCCAATATTTTTGCAGTTAGTTTGACAATGCTTTGGAATTGATGCCATGTACGTTCTTATACTATCAGTCCCCGATTTTTTCATATTTTTTTTGTGGTTATGTTTGAGTCAGTGCTTGTCAGAGTATCTGTTCTCTAAATATAAAAAACGACAAAACAAAGGTGTCAAATGCATTGAGGAACTCTAATATTGACAAAACTATACTATGCCATCCTGCATTTTGGAAATAATGGAACTGTATCTAGGCTAACGTAATTTAAAACAGGTTATGTAATTATTGTTCTCTAATTTTGACATATAATTTGCCACTTTTCAAAACTGACTGAACTTTTGAAACGTCTTACTTTACGTTACCAGTTGGGTAAAGTAAAATATAACATAACTGTTGATGAAATGTTCATTTCATTAAAAAAAAATGGAAACATACTTGTTCGAACTTAAACTACAGTATAACCACAGGTATTAGTCAAGATTACTTTATTACAGTGTTGGAGAACATTTTGTACACGTTTGTTTACATTTATTCAATTTGGTCTAGTTTTGTGAAGTTTCAGGAAAGTTTTCAACATTTTCTTGAGTATCATTATTGGAGAACATGTTGAAAAGGAATATTCAATATTCTCAGATAAATTATGAACATACAAAAATGGATATATATTTATATAAAGCAATACATTGAGAATTCGCATTCTCTATGTGATGAGAATATTTACTCTTTTTCAGTTAATTCAATAGAAAACAACTACTTTCCTGGCTATATGCCACGACGAACATTGAATTATATCTATTGAACACACACGATAAGAGTTTGAAAATAAAATATAAAAATTTCTGAAATTGAGAATTTGCATTCTCCTTCAGACAAAAATATGTATATACACACATCATTATGAATATTCAACAGAAAACAACTACTTTCCTGGCTATTTGCCACGTCGAACATTGAATTATATCTGATGAACATTCAAAAGGTGGAACATAAAAAATAAAGAATAAATTCTCAATTTCCGAAGTTTTTATATTTTATTTTCAAACTCTTATCGTGTGTGTTCAATAGATATAATTCATCAATGTTCGTCGTGGCATATAGCCAGGAAAGTAGTTGTTTTCTATTGAATTAACTGAAAAAGAGTAAATATTCTCATCACATAGAGAATGCGAATTCTCAATGTATTGCTTTATATAAATATATATCCATTTTTGTATGTTCATAATTTATCTGAGAATATTCCTTTTCAACATTTTCATACCCAATCAGGGGGTTCAAACTTGAACGATGGAAACTTGTGATTTTTATAGACCTCTAATCGCAGATTCGTGATAGAGTCTCAATTCAGAATTCATTTCCACGCCCTGTATGATGAATGTCAATTTATCATACACCCAAAAGCATTGGAGAACATGTTGAATGGGAAGGGAGCTAAGCGACCCCCCCCCCTTGACAAATATTGAGTTTTGACCAGGGGTTGTAGAAAACCTCATTGTTTCCAAATCACTGTTATGTCTTGTATTATGGTGATGAATATCATTTCTCCTGATAAAAGTTACGTTAGATAGCCTCTTAGAATCAATGAATTGGTATATTCATAGAGACACTTAGGGATATAATTTTTATAGAGACCGTTTGTGCAATTCATAAATATTTTTCAATGCTCTATTTTGTAAAATCCCAATGGGGGAGGGAGACCACTGATTTTTTGAATCGACATTATCGTGAACCAGTGAATTTATTTAGAATTTTTTTTTAATGCTAAGACGATAAATTAGAATATGTCCATTTCAGAGCACACAATTCCTACGCCATTTGAAATTTTGTCAATTCATTGGTGTGACTGGTGCGACGTCTTAGTCCCAACACGCCTATTGTCCTTGAACTGACCAATCACACTGCAACACTGCAGAATGACGAGGTATCAGAGAGAGATAGCTACAGTTCGGGACTAATACGTCACAGCTCCACCATTATATTTGGTTTTTTGAAATATCGAATGAAATATGCTGATTTCAAAACGATATAGATTCGATTTCCTTGAACTTCAACTCATAATATTGATTGTACATAAAACGTAAATCATGATGCGTCGATTGAAAGAGGTTTGCACGGATTTCTTTCCTCAGTGGTCTTTTCCATTGACCTGGTCACCTTTTTGAAGGATACCATAGCAGAGAAGATATTGTATGTGACAATCAAGGTGGACAGAATATGGTGTAATCACAGACAGTGTTTTGTTTCTCCCAAAACGCTTGACCGCATATTCCGTAATAATGGCATATTAGTTCTCAGTTGTCCGGAAGATGGCGACACTTTTTACAGATTTCTTTCATGACAGAATACCGAAAACGACGCTTACACACCGCTTGCACCAAACATAATATCATAACATTCATAACATAACCCGAAATCAAATGAGATTGAATTAAAAAGTAAGAAACTGTAATTTTGGGAAATTTTAATTATCATCAGTTCTACCAACATTGAATTTTGGTTCAGATTTCGCCATCTAACGGGCAAAATGCGACCTATATTCCGCGATATTGAAAAGAATCCTTCTGTCAAGTAGGCCGTAGGTCAAGAACTTTGACCGAAAAACAGTAGATAGAATAGGATAGGAGGATCTACACCATCTTCTGTTCATCCTGGTGACAATGTATGAATGAATAGTAAATTCCTCTCAACAGATGTTTTGGTATACAATTATTCAACTTCCATAATATACCTATTGGAGCTGCTGCCATCTTAGATCTCCGCCTGTCTAAATGGGAGTAGATGTATCATGATTATTTGGATGCAGGATATAATATTCAAATGATGAACCTTCAAAAAATAAACAGATCACTAACCTTCGTTTGCAGGTAGTCGATCAGCTTGATCTGCTGCTTGATCGTAGCGTCAGCCTTTGTTTCTCTCTCCTTGTAAAAGTGGCTCTTCTCATTCACATCCCTCTCCAACTCATCGATCTTCTCCAACAACATGCTCTTCTCCTCTCTCTCTTCGCTCAACTGATGCTTCAATTTACAGCTGGACTCCCTAGCCCTGTTCAACTGCGTGAGATGATCAGACAGTTCCTGCTTGATCACTTTGTTATCCGATTTGACATCGCTGATCAGGCGTTCTTGTGCTTTGACAGTCACCTCCAAGTCGCTTATTTTTTCCTCGGCCACTGACAGCTCGTCGGAAAGCTGAGTGGAGTACTGCTTGTACTCCATGCACTGTTGCTTGTAGGAAGTGCACTCGTTGTGAAGACACTCGATGTCTTCGAGCAGTCTTTTCGCTTTGGTTTCGGCGAGTAGTTTGAGGGATTTTTCTTCGTTGGCGGATTTTTTCGCTTCTTGGATTTGTTGTTTGGCGGAGCAGAGGTCGCGAATGAGTTTGTCGGTGTTGGCGTTCAAGGAGGATACTTTGTTTTCGTGTGAAGCGTTTATTTTCTCGAATTCGATCAGTTGGGTTTCTAGCATGGTGCAGGCTTCGCGTAATGCCTCCAAATTCTGGAAATGGAACAGTCTAATATGTTTTCTCCGAAAGCAGGTGATTGACCAAAGACTTTTAGCCTCCAAAATGCAAGGATTTGGGTTTTCTAATTTTATAATTCAATTGAGTATTATGTTAATATTCGGAATGATCTTCCACATCCCTTTATTATTATGAGAAATCAATAACTGCGGCAAAAGATAAGTAGGGCAAATTAGGAGATTCATCAACACTAGATTCAAGGAACATCTAATAGATTTTTAGTAAGGAAGTAGAGAAAAATCAAGTAGTGTTTGAATGTGAGCATGAAGCATCTGAAATTAATTGAACATGTAGATAATGTGAGATAATCAGAAGCATTTGAGAGTCTAGAGACATCAGTTGATAAAAACTAAAAAGACTAGATTTGAATCAGCATAGGAGATCTATTGTATGGTAATAATTGATTTGAAAGAATTAGAAGTTCCATTAATTTTCAGTAATTACCTGAATTATTAAAGTACACAATTGATATAGGACAATCAGATGTAATTTTCACCTGGAACTGAAGATGCTAAACAATCAAACAACGCCGAGTTGAGAAGATGAAAGTCATTTTGAATAGTGGTAAAAACATATTTTGTGATGGCATATACATATACATAATATACTGGGTGTATATCGAACAAAAGATCAAGCCCTGGCTGGTAATAAACAAGTTCATAACCTATCAGAAAACAACAACTTGACCTCAGTACAAATGTTTTCAAAATATTGAAACTATTATACACACACTGGCACAATTAGGGGAACGGGTAAAATTTACACTAAGTTTGACATCAATTTTCTCTCGAACCGATTACTCGATTCAAATTTGTTTTTCACGAATTGTAGCTTCATTCTACACGAATACATCCGAGAAATAACCACCTCCAAACGATTCGTCTTTATATCATATACAGGGGTGTAAAGAAAGTACGGATTTTTCGGTATTCTTTGAGACATCCTGTGGAGTGAACCACTGATAATTGAAACGATTTTCCAACACCAAATTATAGCCCTATCTATCCCGAATATTTTCGTTTTTTATTCATCTTGATATCCCAATTATCCAAGAAAATATAGAGTTTCAAAGAAGAGGTGGATATTGGTATTAATTTTACCACCTCGAAACTCGAACTGGGGAGAACGTGTCGTTTTTCAACTTGTTTCTGTGAGGATTATTTTTACTTCAAGATGAGAATTGTTCAAAGACACATATACGAATACTCTCATGAATATGCAGGGGTGATAAAAGTTGCTCCAATGTTCTTTTGGTGAAATGCTATTTTTGTTAATCAACGTTGGCTCTTTTGTTAATGTCATTAATTATTGTCAAAGTCAAGCGATTCACAATTCATAAATTTGATTAATGAAAATTCAACGTGAGAGATTTGACTCCTACTGATGTGGCGAGGGCTGTAGCATTAATTGAAAATGACCAGTGGGCCAATGTTCCTTTGACATATGAGAGCCGCATCTGCACCAATTCAATAGATGGCAGGGAAAGACTATATCGCCGAGGTGAACAAAATGAACAATTTGATTTTACTGCTTCTGTGTCCTATGGCAGAGGTTTAGTCATGGTTAGGTTAGGTTTGTCAAGAAAGGACACATTTTCAGATCCAATTTGAGTTTTGAGGTGTAAAATTGATACCAATATCCACCTTTCCTTTGAAACTCTGTATTTTCTTGAATAATTGAGATATCAAGATGAATAAAAAACGAAAATATTCGGAATAGATTGGGCTCCAATTTGGTGTTGAGAAATCGTTTCAATTATCAGTGGTTCAGTCCACAGGATGTCTAAAAAAATACCGAAAAATCCGTACTTTCCTTACAGCCCTGTATATGATGGAAAGACTCATCTTTCGAAGGTAATTATTTCTCAGATGTATTCGTGAAGAATGGAGCTACATTTCGTGAAGAAAAAAATTTGAATCGAGCGATCGGTTCGAAAGAAAATTGGTGTCAAACTTAGTGTAAATTTTGCCCGTTCCCCTAATTGTGCCAGTGTGTGTATGTTAATTCGTATTCTCGATTAATATTACTGAATGGTAGTTTTAACAATTATTGCAAAAGATTTTTTTATATGCCTTAAATGTCTGCTATCAAAATTCTTCCTTCTGTGATTGTTATGACTACTCTCATTCAGTAATGTTTATCAAAAATAAGAATAAATATGAAACTCGCCTTATGTGCTTGAGATATGTGAGATGTGAGGTAGGAATTCTTCATTTTTTTTTTATAAAAGTATATATTTTAAATATTTTTATATCTTTCAGTCAATCTGATGAATAATTAATTTTTCAGAATGATCGTTGTTTCTTCTTCTTGAAAAGATATTCAAATAAAGCCAAACTTGCAGAAGCTAAATCTTATTTGATCTGAACATGACTGGCTTTAACAATAATGATTTTTTTTCAAATTAATTAATATATTTCCTTGGACTCCAAGGTGAAATGTTGACAACGAACTGAAAATTGAGATTGACAACTCACCAGATTAGTATTTTGCAATTCTCTCTTGGCCTTCTCAAGTTCATCCTGTACCTCTCTCTTCTCCTTTTGAGAAACTTCCACAAGAAGTTTCAACTTAATCACATCGCTCTCATATTTCCTCATCTCGTTTTCCATACTAGTTCTCTCTTTCTTAATCACGCTTATTTCATTATTCTGACCGGCGATCTGCTCATCCTTTGACCTAACGATCTCCTTCAACTCCGTCAACAGAGCTTTCTCGCCTGCGTTCTTCTCTTTCTCGTTATCCAACTTGTCCTGCAAGTTTTTGCAACTGTTTTTGAGTTTCATCAGCTCCAAGGACATCGATTCGTTGATGTTGCTCAGCTCCACTAAGGCCGCCTCGCCGACTCGTTTTGTGTCCGCTAGACTTTTCTCGTGACCTTCGATTGTCTCGTTGAGCTGTTTGATTTCCGATTGGGCTTCTTTCAGTTCTCGTTCCAGGATTCGCTTGTCTATCTTGGAGTTTTCCAGGTCTTTTTCCATTCGCCAGTATTTGGTGCGCAGTTCTTTGAGCGCTTGGTTTTCGGTCAAAATATTTTCGGAGTCCTGTCAAAATAATGCTTATTCGTAATTTGAATTCCCTATAGAAACGTTCCCGGACTAGGCAGGAAAAAACTACATCGTTATCATTATTACCTACATAATAACTTTTGAATATTTACACTAACAAGATGAATCATTCTTATGAGAGCAATGATGCCAAAAATCTATTCAGTAGAGGGCGGTATCTATTACGGTCTCTTGATGTAAATTGACGTATTTGTCATCTAACACGTTGACTGCCATGTCGGTCTATTAGACCGAGAAAAAAATATCCTGACGTGCCGCCTCGGTCTCATAGACCAAGATTGGAGTTGATACACCAGGCCAGCTCGGCCTATAGGACCGAGTCAATTGAACCGCCCGTGAAGCCGTCGGTCTGAATTATTGTCAATAATATCGCGGAGAGCGACCAAGACGGCTTCAGTGATAAGATTATATTGTATATCGTCCTCATCAGACACAGCACTAGACCAAGGCCGAACCCGGACGGACCGAGCTGGCGGACCGACGCGGCGTACACGGGTATACATGTATAAACGAGCGCCGACTCGGTCTATAAGACCGAGCTAAATTTCTTCAATTTTTTGGATCCAAAGTCCCAATTTTCAAGAATTTCAACGATATACTATCTTCTGTAGGCTTCAGCTACATAGAGTCACTCATGGTTTCTGGGACAAAATTTTTGATTTTGCTTCGGCTCTGATACCAACAGTGTGTATATGAGCCCGGCAGTCAACGTGCTAAACAGGGTACGGACAGATCCTCGTCTCCTGTCACTCTAAAGTGTTTGTGAAACAGTTATATAGTTCCGTCTTCTTCCGAACACTAGATTTCTGACATTTGTTGTTTTTAGGGTTATATTGAGGTCATTGGCGTATCATGCGTAATTTCCACATGTAATTTCTCATTCAAATCTACATATTATATCCAAATGATGATGATTATTTTCGAGTTTTTGATTTTTCAACTCCAGCATATTCTTTGTGAGGCAGTAAGCAAATTTTTCGGAAATTTTAATACGTTTCACCAAATGGGACTGTTCTTAGGCAGTACAACCTATCAATAAACTAATTTTGATTTCAGACTAAGCCTTATGGTTGAGAAATGGTGAAGAATTTCATGTAGGTATTTAAACTAATGTGCTCACATGTCACGTGTGCTGTATATATTCATCATTTTTGCAGTTTTTCACGAACACTTGATATTTCCTGAATGTAGGTATAATTTTTTAAATGATAGGGCATATGCCTCATCTTTTTGTCCTCCGTTTTAATCAAAACTGTTTCTACTAAAATGCATTCAAAAACTTGTGGAGTGGATAATTATAGGCACAATGAGAAAGTATAATAATTATGTGATTTCGTATTAGTTTTACCTCGAATATTTTGCTGATGTATTTACCAATTTTCCCCATTCGGCCACTTCACTTTCCATGTTCTAAGTTCATTTGCATTTGATGGAAAGCTGACAAATTCAAATTTTCCATCCAACTGATTGATACAGCCTAACGCAGCACATTTTACTATCCTTCCAAAACAGAATTGAATAATGTCGTATCAAGATCAAGTATGAGTTGGAAATTTTGTAAGATCTCTTTTAACTCCAATGAATGTGACGTGACAGCAATGTCATGTCAGGAACGCCAACACACGAAACTAAAGTCACTAGATGATCAAAAGAGAAAGGAGCTATGATCTGTCCGTACCCTGTTAAGATGACTTTAACGCCAATTTCCATCAAGGGACCCTAGTATCTATGAGCGACAAGGAGAACTACTATTTGTTGAGAAGCGAAGGATAGAGATCGGTAATGCAAAATATATTCAGAGCTCAGATGGTTCTAGTAGGTTATATGGCATTATTGAAGCCAGATGGACCTTCAGCACGTGTCGCAACTCAAACATCGCTTTCAGTTCGATGTATCTACTTAATAGTACTCGCTTGGCAATTTCGCAAGAAGATTTTCAGTATTTAATCACCCAACCACATTCATTCCGAAATAAAGAGAATTGTGTTTCAAAAGTACAACAAACAATTTATTCAATCACGAAAACATAAAAATGTGTCAAAAAGGCGGAACAGCAAAGAACAAACATGAAACCAGCGAACAACAGAAACAGGATGATGGTTCTTGGTACTTACATTATGTTATGGGCAGCAGCACCAAAGTCGAGGACATGTCACACCCCCAAAGTGGCATAGTGCCACTTTGGAAGTCAGCAATCGATGAATGAGTGTTATGTACTGATTCCAATATAATAATTGGTAGTGATGAATCGAATAACGATTGAACTAATAACGACCATGACTTATCGATTCGGGTTCTATTTATATTTGAAATCGATGCTAGATTCGCAATTTACCGTAATAGGAATGGCCATTACCTTTCCGATATTGCTTACCTAGGTATTATCGCACGGTAAGCGGTTTTTACAGAAACTGACGTCTATGAACTCCGCTGACCTGATCCAGTGATGTTATTCCATAGGTATTTGTACTTATTGACAGTATTTTTATGAACGTCACATCAGGACCGGATTGAAATATTATTATAATTATTTAAAAGTAAAAAGATCTGAATTAGCGATTTTTCTGCTTCAGAAAGAATGATGTTCCTAGATAGTTCAACAACTTGCAGAGAAATGAACTCAGGCAGATTCCAAGAGCATAGACAAATCTGCAATATTATGCTTAGTATTGCGCCGCCAAGAACTAAGACCAAATTGGGCTTCAACATGTTACATATCGGTGGATAACCTTGTCAGTGAAAATAATCAATGATAAAACTGGACAATAATATAAAAATCGAGATCACGTCTTAACCAAATTGACGATAAAATGGTTGACATTCTTCTTCTGAAAAGTTCACATTGCTTATTGTTGCAAATAGTGCAATAGATAATGGAAAGCAGCAGGAAAATCAAGATTAAACATGTGCCTAATGAAATTCGAAATGCAGCAGTAGCTGCTATAACATAATTTTTACGTGAAAAATTAAAGGTTAGGTATGAAGCCGTTCGATTTGTTCACAAAATGGAAATAGATGGACATGAAGAAATGCAAAACTTCAACATAAAATGTGATTTTGTCACAAAAATCGGAAATTGTTAATATCTATACCCTATGGAGCATGTAGTTTATGTTGAAAAGTTTTTGCCATTTTAGTCATAGAGTGAAAAATAATGTAAATATAGCCACGTTCCCGAATTGGGCACATCACCTTCAAGATCTGACTTCAACAACAGACATTTTGATTTACCAAGCAATCAAAGAAAATCCCTTTGATATTGGCATTTGTTCGAATTTTGAGATAGAAAAACAATAATCAGATTGTTCCTACTTTGTTTTGAGATAAATACTATTGAGACTTGTTTTTTGACAGAACGCGAAATTAAATTTCGCGACCGTTAATCACAGCCACGACCGCCAAACCAGACGTCAATTCCGAATTTGACAGTCCTAAAATACAATAATTCAAACAGGTAATTTCCATACCAACACCGTGACTTCATAATTAAATTGAACTTGCTGTTGATTTTATTCGTTTTGAGCTAACAAGAATTCAACATGCCAATTTAATGTAAGCATTACCTGAAGTTGTTTGACGAGCGACAAACACTTTTCTCTCTCTTCCAACAGTTGACTCTCCAATTCTTCCACTTTCCTGTCACTTTGCAACTTCGCAATCGTTTTCCTCATGGCTTCCATTTCTCTCTCATGCTCCTCCATAGCTTTCGTTGCCATCTGCAACGATGTATTACGATTCTCCAGATCTTTGACCACCTTGTTGCTGCTGTCGACTTTTTCCCTCAAGCAACCGATTTCCACCTTGTATTCCTCCATTTTGGAAACGTCCTTCTCGAGAACGGAGACTTGATCACTGAGCTGTTTGATGAGGCCTTCTGCCTCATCGATTTTCGATTTCCAGACTTCGAAGTTCAACTCGGACTGGGACAGTTTTTGTTTCAAGCGGGCTTCTTTGTCTTTCGCCTGGGACAATTTGTTCTCTATGACGGTTTTCTGATGACATTCTTCGCTCAGTCTCTTTTGTAAGTCGGCAATGGCTCCTTGAAATATCCAAAGTAAGGCAAAACTAAATGTCATGTTAATATGGAATGTATCAAAATTCATAAAATAGTTTCCAGTATTCTATTAATTCAAGAAAAAGAATGCATTGAACGATACTTATAATATTAGAATTTTTCATTGCAAAATATCAGTGCACAAACTGAATGACTGTCTTCATTACCCCAAGAAATATTTCTATTTAGGGATACATGAATATATATGAAAGAAGAATTAATGAATTCCACTCAGTGGAAACATATTCATATTTTTTTAAGATGAATGTTATAAAATCTCATTCCTGAGTAATCAAATCTTGCCACATATTTTTCAATCATATTGTCATGAGCAGGTATTTTTTAAGATTGATTTTGAATCTTCTTGCATCATGTATATTTTACAACTCATTCGTTAATGAATTGTATAAAATTATTCCATTGTGAAACACATATTGTTTGCCAATGTTCGACTTGAATGTATTTGCTATCAAGTAATTCAATTGTCAAGTAACATAACCATGGACTGAATTGACTTCAATAAAAGTTAAATTTGATATTTTCAATAGTGTGTAAGGCTTCAGAACTTACTATCCTCGTAGAACCTTGAATTTCAATGAATTTTTGTTCGTTAAAGGAGGAATTTGAAATCTCATTTAACAAGTAGGTGACTAAATTTTTGGACTGCAATACTCTTGTGGGTTCAAAATTTAAAACGTACTATTAGGGCCGATTTCATAATGGAATTAAATACTATTTTAAATGTTAATGGACACTAAGTTTCAGATCGATTTCTTAATACATATCTGTAGATAAAGAGAGTACTTTAGTTGAATACCCAATTTTGAGAACTCTACCGCAAATTGTTGTCATTTTGTTTTCAGTGATGTTAGATTCTCAATTGGATTGAGTTCATTTGAATATTATGGAATCCAACTTCACTGTGGGTGAGGAAATGAAAAATAATTGATGACTTGAATTTCTCTAATATAATATATTCAGGATTACTAAACCAACTTTTCCATCGCGTTTAGAAGCTATTGAACATCAATTTGACATTAACAGTAACACTAACTAACCTGCAGACGTCGGTAGATTATAGAAGATCATCATATTATCAGGGGTTCAAGTATCAAACCAGTGAACCTAGTTCCACTTACACAGATTTTATTCACTTGAATGCATGATTGTACAGGGCATTGTATTTTGCAGTGACTTTAACCCAAACTTAACTATAATAATAATATATACAGATAATTACGATATTACATGCATAAAATAACGTCCAACAATTGAAAAACCTTCTCATGATTGTTGATTTTATCAGTAGTTTTGATTTATATATTTGAATTTTTCGACTTTTTCAACAAAAAGCAATTATGTATACCGCGTAAAGTTCGAAGGCAGTTTCACTCGTTTTTTAGTAACTTCTACTATAAACACCGATAACATCCATACTAACTGACAACACTAGGGAATAAAAATACTTTCAACATGGCTTCACAGTTTCTATTGCACCAGTAACTGATCGATTCAGGTATGCCAATTGCCAATTTTCATTAAAGGGTCATTTAGTTCAGGAACCATTGTCAAGTGATTATAAAATCATCAGTATTGAAAAATGTATATAAATGATGCTTTAACTAAAAGGATCATTCAATAAAACGAGCTATTAGTATCTCATTATGAGATCAGTCCTTAGGGATTGTTTTTTCCACGGGAACTAGCGAAGGGTTGCATCTGTAAACTGGCTTATTACATTTCAAGAAACATTGAAATGTCATCTCGGAACATATTGTTACATCATAGGTTTTACAAATTGTTGATTCATTCTCATTCAGAATTAATGAACATGATTATTCTCAACGGTAAACTGATTGATCCACACGAATTATCGATGGATTGGACGAATAATTTTGTTGATTAAGTTTGATTTGATTTTTCACTCAATAGTTTGAAAAATATGTTGATTTAGACTAGATTACTGCCCCTCACTCGATAGTATAACACCGATCATTCGATTCAGGAAAATGCCCCAAGTCAAAATTCCCACTAGGATAGACTGGAAACAGAATGGCCACTGCATCATACACACCAAGGGCATCATCTAAACTACTCAACACTAATTTCGTCGCACACCAAAATGTCGCCCCTGTTATAATGTGAATAACTTTTTTCAGTTTTGAACAATTTGAATTTGGTTCACACTGTTCGATAGCCCAGTCCTTCAGCTATAATCTCGTACTTCATTGAAACATAAGGGTATTTACATAAAATCTCTACATGGTGTTTTCCGACACTGTGCAAAATTTCGGAATATTCAAAAGGCTCTCAAATGGTGAAAAATTTTTTTTTCTCAACTTCGAGAACAGGGACATGAAGATGATCTCATTACCTCGAGATGTTTCGCGAATCAACTTCCTATCTCTCTTATTTACAGAGTGATCTCAAAAAATCAACTTTTTGGTTTTGCAGCCATAACTTTTTTCCACGTCAACCGATTTTAGAAATCTTAGGCTCATTTTGGAGATAAAACTTCAGATGAAGAGATCTGAATATCAGGATTGACTCAAGATGGCTATCAGAGATCTAGAGTTTTCTTGAAAGTGACCCAAATCTGGAACGCCTCCGAATCTCGGTTGGGAGGAGAATTGAATGAAAATCAACTTGTTCTCGGAAAAACAATTCATTCAGGATGCGTCCATATTTTCCTCGCTCTCAGTAGTCAAGAATTGTGCGTGAGAAAACACAATTGAAACATGTTCTTGCGAAAACATCAGACCATTTCTCCTCTGTAATGCATGGCCCGTAACCAACGTTACAAGAATCACAATGGACTGACAAACCCGACCAGCTAAGGCTCATCATAAATGGTGTACCAACAACCCTATGCGGTCTCGCATTGTCATCAACGAGAACAAAGTTGTCACCCACATTCGCTTTAGATGAGGCATCGATACTATCGAAATCTGTTTATGATTCGAAATCGACGTCTAATTTGACTTGTCAGTCACTTACTGTGATTCTTATAACGTTGGTTACGGGCCATGCATTACAGAGGAGAAATGATCTGATGTGTCTGATGCAAGAACATGTTTCAATTGTGTTTTCTCACGCACTTTCTCGACTACTGAGAGCGAGGAAAATATGGACGCATCCAGAATGAATTGTTTTTTCGAGAACAAGTTGATTTTCATTCAATTCTCCTCCCAATCGAGATTCGGAGGGCGTTCCAGATTTGGGTCACTTTCAAGGAAACTCTAGATCTCTGATAGCCATCTTGAGTCAATTCTGATATTCAGATCTCTTCATCTGAAGTTTTATCTTCAAAATGAGCCTAAGATTTCCAAAATCGGTCAACGTGGAAAAAAGTGATGGCTGCAAAACCAAAAAGTTGATTTTTTGAGATCACTCTGTAAATAAGAGAGATAGGAAGTTGATTCGCGAAACATCTCGAGGTAATGAGATCATCTTCATGCCTCTGTTGTCGAAGTTGAGAAAAAAATTTTTTCACCATTTGAGAGCCTTTTGAATATTCCGAAATTTTGCACAGTGTCGGAAAACACCATGTAGAGATTTTATGTGAATACCCTCATGTTTCAATGAAGTACGAGATTATAGCTGAAGGACTGAGCTATCGAACAGTGTGAACCAAATTCAAATTGTTCTGAACTGAAAAAAGTTATTCACATTATAACAGGGGCGACATTTTGGTGTGCGACGAAATTAGTGTTGAGTAGTTTAGTATGCAGATGACCCCAGGATGGAAGAATGCGCCGTTGCTGGGATCTATGGGCAGTCCCCAAGGGCAGATCATGCCTATACCCTTGAGAAATATGCCACGATTTTTCAGACTGAAGCATTTGCAATACTTGCCTGTGTTCAAGAGAAACCAGCAAATTACTAATGCACTGACATCCAGGCAGCGATCTACGTATACAGTGCGTCCATAAAGTAACGCGTAAACTCATTGTTGGCTAAATGAACAATAAAATTAGAAATTCCCGAAACAGGTAGATTTTTTATTTCATTTTACTATTGTTTCAAATCATAATATAATATACAGGGTGAACCACTTTTGTGTAATGACGTTATCACCATTTCTTTTAAATGAAACTTCCTTTTTTTTCAATTCCCCGATAGCCCTTGCTGAGCATAGCGGATGTTATATTCTGTATTTCTTGTCTAATTCGGTCTTGTAGTTGAGGGATATTTCCAGGTCTGTTCAAGTAGACTTTAGATTTTAAATAACCCCATAAAAAGAATTCAATTCTTTAGATATTTTCCCAAAACAAATTTAGTTTTATGTTGTTTGGCACCTGCTTTGGTCTCTTTCTATTATCATTATTCATTTGCTTATATTTCAGATTTGCTACTTAACCATCTCGTTGGAATGTTCCTCCTTCCCCCCCTCAAATCTTCTCCTTGTCATTTCTGTTTGAATTATTTCTAACTGTACTACCACTAGTGGAATTCACATTCATCCCAGTGTTTACTTTTTTTTTTTTTTTTTTTACTGCTATTGATATTTATTTATTTATTTCAGTTATTGCATTACATTCTTTTCTTCATTGATACATTTCATACAAATAATATATAAAGTATAATTAATTTTCTAGTAGGAATGACATGAATGATCAGACAGTAATTCCTGGTATAAGATCATTCATGAAGTATTATCGACTGTTGTATAATTGAAATTACAAATAGTGAACAAAACTTACATATCATTAAGATACAGTCATATTATAGTGAACGAGAAGGGGAAAAATAAAAACAGTGAAAAAAAAAGAAAAAAGGAAATTCATGGTCTTTCAGCTTTGATCATTCCTTTGCATATAAATATATTTCTTAACTTTATTTTTGAATTGCATAATATTTGGGCTGTTTTATATCATCTGGTATTTTATTGAATTTCGAAATCGCCTCATGTGTAAACTTTTTTTGTCCAAGTTTAGAATTTGCAGCTTCAAGATGAAACAAGTTATATTGTCTAGTGTGATGATCATGAATTTCGGAATTCCTGATTAATATAAAATTTGATTTAAGCTTTTTGTTGATGATATAATAGGAAATTTTGAGAGTATTGATTAACTTCATTATTCCCAAGAAACAACATTTGTTTATAGCAGGGAACATGGTGAATACATAAATATATTTGACAAAATAAAGAAGGCAAGAAAATAAGACTCACACTCAAGACGAAATCTCCTTTTTTTCAAGTTCAACTGAAAATGATTGTTAATTGACTCAGCTGTAATTGAACGAGAAAACTATAAAAATGTGATAAGATGTCAATACTACAGGAGTAGATGTTTCTTATCATTTTAGGAGAAATTGGTGAGGCGTCTTTCAAGTGATCCTAACTGAAAACCGTCGTTTCTGAGATAGTACTTTTTTAAATTTGAGCCCAAGTGTTCTTGATTACTACTCAGATATTGAGTCACCTATTTGTCCAATTTTCATTTCACAACCTTTCAAGAACGATCAAAAATAGAGGTATTTCAGTGGTGGTAAGTCCACATGTTAGACATGTAGGATACGACTCTGTATTATCCATATCAGTTTATCTTTCATTTTGAATAAGTTATGTTGCTATAGTAAGATGTAAATATCATTAATAAAAAATAGTAAATCTTCGAGTTGAGGAATATAATTTATATCAAAGATTCATCGAAGTATTTGATGATATCTATCATGAGACACACTGTACAACAGGTGTACCAAATGCATTCCTATTTCAGTACCTTGTGTTTCTGTTGTGACTTTGTCCAAGCGTGATTCGAGCCCTATAACACTGCGTCTGCTCAAAACTTGAACGTGTTCTAGGGAATCTTTGTGCTTCACTTCCATTTTCAAAGCGTGTTGCAGTTGTTCGTTGAGTATATTATTAGTGGTGGTGAGTTGAGTGATTTTTTCCTTTTGCTGATCGATCTCCAACATCAAAGCTTCCACCTTATTTTTCTCAGATATTTCCCATTTCAACTTGGCCGATTTGATGAGGTCTAATGCCTTTTTCTCCAGCTCCGCTCTGTCTTTACGTTCTAATTCCAAAGTTCTTTTCAGTGCCTGCAAGATTAGATTGGTCTAGTTTCCAAAACAATAAACCAGCAAATATCTCGCCACTACTCATTTGTTATTTTGTCAGAAATGTGAATAATCTGATCTCTATTTTTTTATAATTCAATCACTATACAGGGTTATGATAAAGTAATGCACAAAATTCATAAAATGTACAACGATCACTTTAGAAAAAAATTCAAAAACACGTCAAACTGTTCTTTTTATTCCGCATCTTTTGACATAAGTTACAAAAATAACACGTCAAAGTTGTCAAAGTTATGACGTCATCAACAAATTTTTTTAATGGAAAGCTAAGATTTTTATTACATTATGTGAGGCCTACTGCAACTATTTTTCCCTTGTGTAAAAACACAAGCTCTATCGCCATTCTGTACAGCGTGGACATAAAACTGGAGAGTTCCGAACTTAATATATCTGAAGGAAACTTCCCCATTCAAACTTATAAATCATCAAGGTTAAACATCTCAAACGTCCTGCACAATTATAAATAGTGTCAGTTTAACTGTTAAACTGACACTTTTTGTAATTATGCAACAAGTTATCGATGTTTAACCCGAATATTTTGAAGTACTTATAGTACCACCACTGAAAATATTTTTTCTGTGACGGAAAAAAGTTCGACATTTTATTCCTATTGACATGTAACAAAATGTCACTTCCTTCACGAGGGCCGAAAGTTAATGTTGGGAGAATTTATCGCATTTGCAACAGAAATCACGTGATGGTATTCAAGAACAAAATGACGTCTTTTCGTAAAGGGTTGGAGAAAAAATTTTCATTTAAAACCAACCAAAAGTGGTATACTCCTCACTCTCACCAGTTGGCGCTATTGAAACGTGAGGTCAGTGTCAAAGTCAAAAATCCCAAAATTTTGCCGGATAGCCCCAAAGACTACAGTGTGTCCCACTTACCATGCTCACCATGGGTATCTTTTTAACGGTGAGAGATACGAGGTCGGTTAAATGACACCAAATGTAGAGTTTGTCATGACCAACTATAACGTGAAAAAATATTTTGATAAAATCTATTCGTTTTTGTTTTATACGCAAAAAACAGATTTTGATCATTTTCATGTCTCCTCCGTAACTTCTTTATTTATAAAAATATACGAATAGGAATTTCACATTCTCATGGCAGTTTTTCACAGTGATTTCGAAAAGAATATGAAATTTATACCAACTCTTCTAGAATTTGAGATATCAGCACCAACTTTAGTTTTTCAAATGTAGGTCATAGCTCACTATGACTTAGTTACGAATAACTTTTTTTTCTCTCACCGATGATATGGCGCAGTAATAGTTTTGTGTTGATAACAACGGAGTTATCGTCATTTATACAAAAACAAAAAAAATATTTGGAAGCCGCCATCTTGAATTTATAAATTTTAACAAAAAAATCATGATCTCCGACCTCAAGAATCCCCACTTACCAATTTTGAATGGAATCGGACCAAATCTTGTCCACAATACATTATGGAATTTTTGTTGAAATTAAAAAAAATGACTGCTCCAAGATGGCGGACAAGATTTGGTCCGATTCTATTCAAAATTGGTTAGTGGGGGTTCTTGAGGTCGGAGATCATGATTTTTTGTTAAAATTTATAAATTCAAGATGGCGGCGTCCAAATAAGTTTTTGTTTTTGTATAAATGACGATAACTCCGTTGTTATCAACGCAAAACTATTACTGCGACATATCATCTTTGAGAAAAAAAAGTTATTCGTAACTAAGTCATAGTGAGCTATGACCTATATTTGAAAAACTCAAGTTAGTGCTGATATCTCAAATTCTAGAAGAGTTGATATAAATTTCATATTTTTTTCGAAATCACTTTGAAAAACTGCCATGAGAATGTGAAATTCCTATTTGAATATTTTCATAAATAAAGAAGTTACGGAGGAGACATGAAAATGATCAAAATCTGTTTTTTGCGTATAAAACAAAAATGAATAGATTTTATCAAAATATTTTTTCACATTCACTAGAGGAGTTGGTATGAATTTCATATTTTTTTCAGAATCACTTTGAAAAACTGCCATGAGAATGTGAAATTCCTATTTGAATATTTTTATAAATATAAAGAAGTTACGGAGGAGACATGAAAATGATCAAAATCTGTTTTTTGCGTATAAAACAAAAACGAATAGATTTTATCAAAATATTTTTTCAAATTATAGTTGGCCTTGACAAACTCCACATTTGGTGTCATTTAACCGACCTCGTATCTCTCACCGTTAAAAAGATACCCATGGTGAGCATGGTAAGTGGGACACACTGTATGCATTGATTCATAGAAAATATTCGAAAAAAATCATGTAGACTATTTTAACAAATAGAAAACCTCAAGTTATGGAAAGCCATGGGCCGACTTACGTTTTTTTCAGGAAGATATCGTAGGAGAATGGCAAAGACACGAAAATAAGAAATATATTCATCAGCTCTACCAACCTTGACCTCAAGTTTCAGTGGCATGTTTTGATGGACAAACAAACAAATAATGTTAGCCCTCATTCAAACTGGACATAAACCTGCATGGAAAAACATACCCCGCACTCTGCAATATTACCAGCCAGATCCCTCTCCAATCTGTCCCGTAAATTCTCCATACTCTCCAACTTTCTGTTCTTCACCTCCAACTTCTGCTCCAGACTATCTCTCTCCTTATCGAACTCCTCGTTCTTCACCAGCTTCACCTTGAGGCATTCCACCTCGCTCTTCAGATTCTCGACCAGCTCGTCTTTCACTATGATCTTCCTTTGCGAGCCTCCCTCGTAACAACTTTGGCCGTGAGTGAACGTGAAACCGACGAATGGCAAGTTTCTTCCGGAAAACTGCGTTCGCTTTTTGAAGGACTCGATGCTGGGAGTTTTCTGTTTGGTTTGGATGTCGCTGAAGTTGCTGGTGTCTTCCACGGAGGAGATTTTCGGGACGAAGGGCGGCACCTAATTACGTATTATCGCAACAACTCTTTAATTTATTTCATCGAAGTTCTCGAAATTTAGAGATTTTTTTTTCAGGACAATGGTATCTACAGGGTGTTTCAAAAAAACCTGACCCCCTTGCTAGGGTAGGTAGAACACTGCAAAATAAGTTGGGTTTGCTCAGTGGAAAAATATCGTAACGGCATCCGTTTTCAAGATACAAGTAGTTGAAAAAATTATTTTTTTACATATTTTTCACGATTATGTCGAAACTACTGGCAACATTGTAATGAAATTTTGTATGTGTGTTTCTTGAAATCTGACACATCGCATGGATTTGTTTTTATATCTGACTCTCATAGAGGGCGCTAGTTACACGGTTCATACCGAGTAGTTTAGAACATAACTTTTTTGAGGTTAGATTTTTCAATCCAAATATGATATGAACTTGAACATCATTCAATTTTACACCAAAAAGGTACTCTTGGTGGAACTCGATACAATGTTCCATTTTCGGAATATTTCGATTTGAAAATAATGGAGTAATAGCTGATGCTGGTACAAAAATGAATTTTATTGAGTTCAATTACCTATTTTTCCAGATTCAAAAACAATGAAATGATTCTTGTACTGAAGTTATTGATGGAACAAAGAATCATAAGTAGAAAATTAAGATATTTGACTAGAAACATGAAATATTAAATCAGTTAGAGTGAGTGTTCAAAATGTCCTACGTTTCGACGAATACACGATTTTATATTCTTTTCTTGAGAATGTATTATTCTTTCAAACAGTTGAGAATCAGCTAGTAGGTACTTTAAGTGATGTTCAATTATATATTACAACTCTTGACGTGAATTCACCTATGTAGCATAAACTTTCTGCTCAAGATACAACAAAACTGTGAAATCCATGTTCTTAGTCAAATCTGTTTCGATGTTATTCTTATGATTCATTGTTAAATCAATAAGTTCAGCATCAGAAATGTATTGTTATTTTCTGTTTTCAATAAATTGGTGATAATTTTTCATAATACTCACTCCAATACATATCTTTATACCAGCAACAGTTATCACTTCATCATTTTCAAATCGAAATATTCCGAAAACGGAACACAGTATCGAGTTTTACCAAGAGTACCTTTTTGTTGTGGAATTGAATGATGTTCAAGTTCACATCAACTTTTGATTGAAAAATCTAACCCCAAAAAAGTTATGTTCAAAACTACTCGGTGCGAACCGTGTAACTAGCGCCCTCTATGAGAGTCAGATATAAAAACAAATGTATGCGATGTGTCAGATTCCAAGAAACATCCATACAAAATTTCATCACAATGTTGCCAGTAGTTTCGACATAATCTCGAAAAATGTGTAAAAAAATTATTTTTTCAGCACCTTTTATCTTGATAACGGATGCCGTTGCGAAATTTTTTACTGAGTAAACCCAATTTATTTTGCAGTGTTCTACCTACCCTAGTAAGGGGGTCAGGTTTTTTTGAAACACCCTGTATACTACGCAACAGTAATTTCGTCGCACTCCAAAATTTTGCCTCTGTTGAAATATGAATCATTTTTTTCTGCTTTGAACGATTCGAATTCGGATCACACTGTTCGCTAGCCCAGTCCTTCAGCTATAATCTCATAATTTTTTGAAACATAAGATTCTTCACATAGAATCGCTACAGGGTGTTACCTGAAACTGTGCAAAATTTCAGAAATTTCAAAAGTATCCCAAAGAATGAAAAACTTTTTTTTTTTCAACTTTGACAGTAGAGGCATGCAGATGATCTCACTATCTTGGGACAGTCGAATTGTCTCCTTATCTCTTTTATTTACAGAGTGATCTCGAAATATTAACTTTTTGATTTTGTGGTCATAAATTTTTTCCTCGTCAACCGATTTTTGAAATCTCAGGCTCATTTTGAAGCTTAAACTTCAGATGAAGATATTTGAAGATCAGAATTGACTCAAGATGAACATTATACAATGTGTCTCATTTCTAATAGAAACATCCCTGTATCAATCGTAATTGTTGAGTTAGGATTCTGAAATTTGCAAGCGCGGTAGATGTACTGAGAATACACACTCTGGAGTCGTCTCCAGTGATATACAATGATTGCCAACAGCCATGGGACCACACACAAAAATGATATAAAAGGAGACAAGATAGGTTGAAAATCACTTCGGATTCGTAATCAGGACGTCCCATTCGCTTCCTCCTACAAATTACAGAGCCCTACCTCAATAATTACGTGAGATACGGGGGTGCCTCCATGAGAAGTGAGACAAAATTTAATTTTTCTGGACTGAAAATTTTCCACGAAAAATATGTATAGTCAGTGGATTGGACGTCCTGATTTAGAATCCGAAGTGATTTTCAACCTATCTTGGCTCCTAATAACATTTTCCGGAAATTTGGGTGGTTCCATGGCTGTTAATGAGCAGTGTATATCACTGGAGATGACTCCACATGGTCATAGTGTTTATTTTCAGTATATCTCTCGCTCCTGTAAGTTTCAGAATCCTAACTCAACAATTACGAAACATACAGGGGTGCTGACACACTGTATAATGTTCATCTTGAGTCAATTCTGATTTTCATATTTCTTCATCTGAAGTTTCAGCTTCAAAATGGGATTTTGAAAGCGGGTAGACAAGTAAAAAAGTTATGACTGCAAAACCAGAATTTTTTGAGATCACTGTAAATAAAATGGATACGAAGACAATTTAAAAAATGTCTCTAGGTAATCAGATCAGCTTCATGCCTATGCTGTCGAGGTTGAAAAAAAAGTTTTGGATCCTTTTGAAAATTCCGAAATTGTTCACAGTTTCAGGTTAGGTAGCGATTTTATATGAAGAAGTACGAGATTATAGCTGAAGGACTGGGCTAGTGAATAGTGCAATCCGAATTCAAATTGTTCAAAGCAGAAAAAAGTTATTCATATTTTAACAGGGACAGAATTTTGAGGTACGACGAAATTAGTGTTGTGTAGTTTATTTCGCGGTAGGTACACTCGTCTTCAGTGAACACGTCGCCGTTGGACGGTATGAGCGCTCTTATTGCAGCGGTGATTAAGAGAGCTCACACCGTCTATGTGCGACATGTTCTCTGAAGACAACTGTACATATGAATTGTTGATTTCTACTCATTGTAGAAGCACAAAATCTCTATTTTAGGACGTAAAATATTCTTTTATTTTATAGTTATCTTGAGATACAATTGAAAGAAAATTACAATTTTAACAGTTTTAAATAACAATTTTAATTTTCGTCACAACACAACCTAGAGCTAAAATCTACTACTTTTTTCCCTTCTATAATAAATAACTATTATTCTTGATGACCCCTAGTACATCCTCTTTAGTTCCTCGGAGCAAAAGTTCAACTTCAGCTCCTAGGAACTGAAAGTATTGCCTAGCAACATACCTAAGTTTGTGACAGTAATAGAAACGTAAATTCAAGAGCTAATTTTGGTACCGGGTGACCAGTTATATTCTGATCCATTTCAAATGCTCATATCTCTGAAACCATTCAAGTTATCGTTGTGCGGTTTGGACTAGTCTATTTTGATGTTTTTCAAGTTTTTTTGACATGTTCATCTTCTCACTTGAACTTCCGGTTCTAACCGGAAACAAACAAGCAATAATCCAGGTATAGGGCAACTTTTTTATTTCATTGAATCACCCTGTATATTTTTGCACATTCAGAAAGACTGGTATTTTCTCTATCTAACAATGTATTACAAGTTATGTTCTCCTAGAAAACTATTAGAGTTATAACTCTTTGAAACAACTACTGCTTGTGGAATGGTTTAATGAGATTATGCAATGTTATCAAAGTTGCCCTATACCTGAATAATGGCTTGTTTGTTTCCGGTAGAACCGGAAGTTCAGGTGAGAAGGTGAACCAGTCAAAAAACTTGAAGAATATCAAAATAGAGAAGTCCAAACCGCACAACGATAATTTGAATAGTTTCGGAGATATGAGCAGTTGAAATGGGTCAGAATATAACTGGTCACCCGGTATTATAATGGACGAGTTTTGTATCGCTTCCAGAAAAAAATGATGAAATTGTCGTACCTGTTCTCTCACGGTATCGAAATGCGTGTTCTTGAACAACTCGTGTTTCCTGATCTGCCTCATGCTCATCCTGGACTTTTGGTCGGTCACCAGGGACTTGACGAAATTCACGTAGGCCTGGCTGAGGAGTATATCGGAGGGGAATTTCAGGGTATTGGTGTGGTTCATTATTTTCGAATAGATCGAGGTGGAGTTTTGGCCAGCGAACGGCGTGTTGCCTATCGTTAGCTCGTAGGCCAACACTCCGAGGGACCAGAAGTCGCAAGAAACCTAAAAGATCGCGGAACGTTGTTTAGCGATTCGGTGTTCTCAGTTTCTCTATGATAATACAAACAAAATAGAAATAGCAATTGAAGACCTCGGTGCAAGAACCGGGCAACTCCAATTTTTTAAAATGTTGGGGAATGCAAAAAACTTAATATTTTTGAGAAACTTGAAAAAAATTATGCTAAATGGTATGAATCCTTCAGAGTTTCAATCTTCTGGACTCCGTCTACCTGAAACTGAATGAGGGTGATGTTGTTGGAGCAGTATTTTGTGATTTCTCAAAGGCCTTTGATTGTGTAAATCACGAAATACTGCTTCAAAAATTGTACCGTTATGGGATCAGAGACACTGTCCACAATTGGATAGAATCATACCTCTCTGACAGAACGCAAATGGTCAGAATACAAAATGTAGAATCGGAGGAATCAAAGATCCACTGTGGTGTTCCTCAAGGATCAGTACTAGGCCCTGTTCTCTTTCTATTATATTTAAATGACTTAGCAAGCATTGATATCTCAGGGAAGTTTACAATGTTTTCTGATGATACAACTATAATGTGGCACGGGAATGACATAGATGCACTGAAAAATATCATATCGATCGATTTAGAAATAGTAAAAAACTGGTGTGATGCCAATTTTCTATGTTTCAATGCAAATAAAACTAATATTCTGACTTAGAAATTCAACTATGATAGTTTGTATCTAGAGAATAGAATAATTGTTAATAAGTCGAATACTAAGTTCTTGGGTATAACTCTAGATGACAAATTGAAATTTGATAATCATATAACGTCCTTGAACAAAAAACTAGCTAGCGGTTGTTTCGCTGTCCGATTAATTAGGAAGGAAATTGGGTTTTCGGTTGCTAAAACATCGTATTTTGCATTGTTTGAGTCGCATTTGCGGTATGGTATTCCTTTCTGGGGCTTCTGCAGCCAACAACTGTTCAATTCCGTTTTTGTAATGCAGAAAAGAGCAATACGCTATTTGTGCGGAGCAAAAAACAGCGATCACTGCAAACCTTTATTTCAGCTCCACAAAATATTAACCTTGTGCAGCATCTTCATACTCGAATCTGTATGTTTGATGAAAAAGAAACATCAAAATATCACAAGTCTTAGAACATACGAGACACGGCAAAACAACAATATACCTCTGCCGATTCCAAAATATTCTTTAACAAAAAATTCATTGATGTTTGAAAGTAAAAAAATATTCTTCAACAAAAAATTCATTGATGTTTGAAAGTAAAAAAATGTTTAATCATTTGCCAATTAATTTGAAGCAATTATCTGACTTATCTAAATTCCGGAAGGCAATTAAAGATATATTGAGTACGAAAGCATACTATTACCTAGAAGAATATTACAGTGACAAATGGTGATGTATATGTATATCATAACCATTCAGGAAGTTTTATTATTTTAATGTGTTTATATTGTGATTTTATAAATTCTTTTATATTTTATATTTATATTTATATGTAGGTACGAACTTCTTTCAAACCAATATTTATAATTATTATAGTATTTTACTACTACTTACTTATCAGGTAACTCATTATTTGTGATAGTATAATCTAACGCTTTGTCAATAAGTACTTTTTCTAAGAAAATAAAGCATATTTTTGATTGATTGATTGATTACGTTAGATAAGCTGTATTTACTTAGATACTAATTTTCATTCACACTGTAGAAGCTAAAAAGGGAGTTGCCTGTTTCTTGCCCCCAAAAAGACAAAATTCTGAAAATATAGTCAAACTCGAGTAATAATTTTGCTTCTTTATTGAAAATGAAATATATATCGAAAAATATTGTGAACAAATAGTATTTTGAACATAGGAAGAATCGCTGACGTTTCCTGCGTTTTGATCTTCGTTAACATTCCCAGAATTTGGGTCCTCTTCGTCAACCAGAGTTAGAATAAGTCATGACTTTTATAAAAAAGTCATCTAAGTCCGACTTTTTTGAATTGATTCATTTGAAAAAACAAACAAATTTCTTTTACCCAAAGCGAAATAGAAAAAAAGAAACAAAAAAACTATGTTTTTATTCCCTTCAGAAATCTTGTAGAATAACATCATAATATGACATGTCATTTTTTCAAAACAAAATTAAAAGTGATGATAGAATACAAAATAATAGATACATATAGATCCAGTATCATCCATAAAGTTCATAACACATGGAGAAAAAGTTTATTAGTAGAATATCGAAACATTTTTTCTCGGGGATCTATTATGCATGTCTGACTACTTAAAAGTCGATTTTGACACATGTCACTTGATCACTGGTATGGCAGTAAATTCAAAAAATTACGATGGCAAAAAGTGGGGTTAGATGGGAAGATGAAGTTATTGAAAAAAAATAAAAATAGCTATATTCAGTTTTCTCAAATAATGGCTGGAAACTCCATATTATGTGAGCATGAAATTGAATTCTATTCAATTTGTACATCATCAACATCACTACTGTCAGAAAAAAAAAGAGAATTGTAACAAAATTGAAGAATATTCGAAAATCCAATTCTCCTCCAAAAATTGCTCGAAACTGAATGTGGAATAGCAACTTAATAAGAAATGTTTATGGATATTTTGTTATCTAACCCCACTTTTCGTCGCTTTACAGTATTATTTTTATTTATCACCATACCAGTGATCACGTGACATGAGTCAAAATCGATTTTCAAGTTATCGGATATGCATAATGGATCGCCGAGAGAAAAAAATTCGATGCTGTGATAATAAACCTGTTCTCATATGTTATGGACTTTATGGATGATACTTGATAATGTATATATCTGTTAGTTAAAATCTTTGTCATGCTTGAAATAACAAAGTCTTGCCAAAATACGATCGAATTTTTCAGTTTAAACTAGTTAAAATCAAAGGTAATAGTTCAATTTGTCTCATTTTTAAAAATTTGAATGAATTCATGACTTTTTCGAAAAAAGTCAATGGAATTAATTCACGAATTAAATCACTGATTTAATTCATATGAATTAATTCATGCCAACCCTGTCGTCAACAGTTATGGTTTTGGAACATATCAACTCCCCGAATCTTGAAAGGACTCACTTTTACTTTCCGACGACATTACATTGTATTGCATGAAACAAATGGTCAAACTAATCACGCCACATACGATGTGTTTGACATGTGTTTTTATTTTATTGTATTTTCAAGTGATTGTGTACGTATGTGTGTTATGACGTATTCTCTGTAAAATATTACAATGAATAAAAAATTGATTGATTGATTGATGGAAGACGCGGGAAGGCTTGCCGCTAATAACCTCACTCCGACATCTCCCACTACACGCGTAAATTTCGGTGCTAAAATCGGGTAACTCCTGGAGTTGCCCGAATCTAGCACCGTCATGGGTTACATTTCGGTGCTAAAATCGGGTAACTTCTAGAGTTGCCTGACTCTTGCACCTCAATGGCTCATCAGGTAAATCCTTTTCCGTGTAAATTCAATAGGAAATTGTTGGATTTGCTTGATTCTTGCACCAAAAGATGCGTATGTTAAATACAATAACCCAATTTCGGCATAAAATGGAGTTGCCCGGTTCATTTAAGAGACAGACTCTTTCAAGCTGGGAAGCCCTCCAGGTTGAAGCCACATATTTTTCAAAGGCTAAGATTTTCTTTAATTAAAAGGACTCGCATGTGTTTTCAAAAAATTGGAGGTCATATCGAGCAACTCATTTAGACGTGTTGAATTTTTATCAATTTTTTTTGTAAAAATTATTTCAATAAATTCGCTATGAGCACCCGGTATTTCCAAATTTACCTTTTCGTACGTAAAAAGTTACGCCCTCTTCCAATTTCTACGAAATAAATAGGAGTATGTCAACATTATGAGATCACCGTAAGCCGCATAGGCATCAAACAATAACCAGTACTTTTCGAATTATCTTAAAAACAAATAATTTTATCGAAATTTTACAAGAGACAAAAAATACTCAAAAATGATTGAACACTCGAAGAAAAATAGATTTGAAGTCATTAGCGCACGTATAATAAAAATATGGGGGTAAGTGTGTACTTGGCCCCTAGTATTTTGAATATTTGACAGTTATTTTCTGTTTTATTTTCCTCACATGATGTAACTCTTTGTGCTAAAGTAATGTACCAATTTTGAGATTAATATCTTATTAAATTCGCGAGTAATTATAAAAAAACAGTTTTCAATTTCCAACTTTGACACCCTGTATATCTAATATGAAGGGCTAAAATGAAAAATGGTATCTAGAAACTCATATTGTTTTTGTTCAAGGAATATATGGTTAATGGATTGACCTCCTTTTAGCGGACACCCTGTATATTACATAGATTTTGGGAGGATATAATTCAATGTTTTGCGTGGTATATAGCCAGGAAAGTGGTTGTTTTCCTCTTATCTACCAATTTCGGCTATTTATGAATATTTGTGGAAATGACTTTGATCTTCTGGTATTTATTTAACATTTCATTTCACTTTGAGCATGTTGGCTTTTTCTTACTTGAAAAATTATTATATCCGAGTTTTTCCATCCCCAAATTCAATTTCAAATTTAGAAACGATTTTATATCGGAGTTTTTGAAAATTTTTTCATAAGTACACCCTTTAATTGTCAACATTCATATTATTAAATTACCTGTATGAAACCCTAATGGAACTGAAATGAATTGATAAAAAATGGCAAATTTGAAATATTCATGTTTCTGATAAAGAAATTAGCATGATACCTGTTGATGACTAATGAGGATATTATGTAAAGGGCAACTGATATTGGAAGAATTAATCTTTGTATGAGACATTCAAGAACCAGCTGTGATAGGGTCAAGATGTGTTTGTGTTAGTGAATTACAAGTGTAGTGTTTCATATTTATTAAGAATTTACAAGTGAGTACAGAGTTTACTTGATTAATCTGAAACAAATTAGATCTGTTTATTCATTAGGGAGTCCCTAACAAATAAATTCATTTTTATCAGTAGGTACCTATTGGTTTGTTCATTGAATCATAACATTCTCAAATCTTAATCATTATTAACACACAATATCATGGATTCTGTGTTGATATTTTGTATTTTTGGCAAAGTTTCTAGTTTGAAAATAGGATAAAGGCATTTTTTTTCTGAAGAGTCTAGAATTTATTTCTAAGTGATGACTTTTATGGAAATCAATGATGTTTTTTAGTCTTTCCAGTGTAAGAAATTTTCAATCCACACTAATTTGTTTATTCTCAGTTTATTACTCTTACAAATACTCAAGCTGACACCTGTAGGATTGAAAAACAAAAAATACAATATACAGGGTGAAAAAAGTTAGTCCGATCTCGTTCAATAGCGGAGCTACAGGGTGTCAAAGCTGAATTATTTCCTTCTATTAGTTGAAATATCTCGCTTATTTGTCAAGATATCATTTTGAAATTCGGTGTGGTGAATACTTCCTAGAAGATAATCATTTCAAGCCAACTAAAGATTTTCAAAATCTACAGGGTGATACGTTTATGGGGGTAGACGCTTCCTTATTCCCCCCAAACTTTTCCGTTATACGCCTCTGGCATCTTTCAGTGATCAAATTATGTGGATCGTTCAATTTAGAGGCTTTTTTTGCTCTTCAAGTTTTATCGAGAAACGAACCGTTTTTGAAATAAATAAGCATATACGTTCTAAAACATGTTAATTTTGCCTGTCACTTGAATTTTATTCAACTGAAAAAAAAAACTTGACTTTTTACCATCTGTATCCCCAATACTGATCCAGATTGGACTCGTGATTGCAATTTTAGTGAGTACATTTCATTGCATTTTCAACGAAAATAAAATGTAAGCGGAACATAGGCAAAATTAACATGTTTTAGAACGTATATGCTTATTTATCTCAAAACCGGTTTGTTTCTGGAAAAAAATGGAAGGGCGAAAAAGCCTGTAAATTGAACGAACTACACAATTTGATCACTGAAAGATGCCAGAGGCGTACTACGAAAAAGTTTGGGGGGGATAAAGAAGCCTTTACCCCCAAAAACGTATCTCCCTGTAGATTTTAAAAATCTTTAAATGGCTTAAAATGACGATCTTCTAGAAAGTATTGACCACAACAAATTTCAAAACGATATCTTGAAAAGTAAGCGAGATATTTCAATTAATAGAAAAAAATAATTAAACTTTGACCCCCTATAGCTCCGTCGGACTTTTGTTTATATGAACTTTTTCGATCAAAATGATGAGATGTATCTCCCATTTTAGTTTGTGCCTTAAAACCTGAATTACCCTGTATAAACAAAATAAAAACTACAATTTTAATAGGAGAGGAATATCCACCTGAAAGAAAACTTATTCATGGAGTCAAATATGAAATATCACAAATTATCTATCAGGATATCATATTATATATTGATTGTCTTTATTAACCAAAGAAACATTATTGTTTATAATATGGATATATACAACAAAACATACATAATATAACATAATAAATCAAAACAATAATAATTGCACAATTATTTGTTTTCATTAAAAAAATTATAATAAGATATAAAATGAAAATATTATAATCTATTTCAAGATATGAAATTGTGAATGATTAGTAGATATAGAATTAAAGTTTACTGAGCAGATATTTCTTTAATTTGATTTTGAATTTTTCTGCTTCTTTCATATTTTTCAACTCATTAGGTAAGCAGTCATAAAAAATTATTCAATTATGGAATATTGATTGTTTACCAACATTTGACTTGAAATTATTTGCTATTAATAAATTAAATTGCCTTGTTGCATGGGCATGAATCATATTAACTTCATTATAATTCAAATTTGATACTTTCAATTCCTTCCTGACAAAATGAATAAAACAACAAATTCTGAGTTTATATAATGAAACTAGATTCAGCAAGTCTTTGGGTTTGTATAGATGCACAGTTGATTCTAAAAAAGGTAAATTGAAAATGCACTTTATTGTTTTATTTTGTAATTTCATGAGTGGCTTCAAGGGTGAAATATTTGTACTTCCCCAAATGGATATTAATTAGATATTGTAAATTTGAATAAAAAAGACAGAAATAAATTAATAACAGAATTTGATTCTAAATATGTTCAATTAGTAATTTTTGATTTCTCAACTCATTGAGGTTTGACCACAGGTTTTGACAAATAAAAAATATTTACTTTTTTACAGTCCTTTCCTAGATCATTGATAATGAATGTGAATGTATACAGTATTTTGGAGATAATTTTTATAATTCTAAATTGCCCCTACTTTTATTAGTCTGTTTGGATAAAAATGGATTTATCAGTCATAAAATTGATTTGAAGAAAGAAAACTTTGAACTATTCATGAAATCAAATATCAAATATCACAAATTATCAATCAGGATATCATATTGTATTGCTGTAGTATAACAAGATTTGATTCTAAATATGTTCAATTGGTATTTTTGATTTCTCACCTCATCAAGTTTTGACAAATAAAAAATATTTACTCTTTTTCAGTCCTTTCCTAGATCATTGATAATGAATGTGAATGTATAAAGTATTTTGGAGATCATTTTTATAATTCTGAACTGTCCCTACTTTAATTAATCTGGTTGAATAAAAATGGATTTGTCAGTCATAAAATTGATTTGAAGAGAAATCATTATCAATGGAGTACTAGATAATATGTTACCTGAAAACCAGAAATTAAATGTCATTGTTCAGCATTGAAAAAGGTTGACACAGATCTTAGTTTCATTTAATAATAAATAATAGATCATGGTATTTCAATTTATGGAGAATAACAATTCTATCTTTCAATGAACACAAATATGACAACAAATATCACTGTTTTATAGGTACTTTTCAAGTACATATACACACTTACCTACACAATACCAGCTTGCCAGAAAATTACCTCCATGTGAGTAGGACTAATCCATATTTTCTGAGATATAATGATGATTTCACAAGATAAAACATTGACACTTACCCCATAGCCTGAATTTTTCGTGCTCTTATTATCCAAACACTGGAGAACTTCTGGAGCAACATAATCCGGAGTACCAACAGGAGGACCTACATTCACCATTCCATGTTCATTCAACTTGGCTGCAGAACCAAAATCAGCTAACTTCAAATGTCCACATCTATCAAGAAGAATGTTGTCTGGCTTAATGTCTCTGTGTACATACCCCATCAAATGTAGGTCTCCTAGTGCTAAAATCTAGGAGAAAAACTGCTCACAAAACCAAAACAATTTGTGATAATCTAGTCTTACCAGCTCAGAGATATAAAATGTAGCTGCACTTTCAGGCAAGGTACCACCTTGTCTATAGAGGAGCCCTAGAAGGTCCCCTCCAGAGTGATATTCCATCACATAAAACAAGTAAGTGTTATCCTGGAAAGCATACTGCAAGGATGTTAACCAATGTGAATTAGAAAATGCCATTATATCTCTTTCAATACTGAAAGACATTCGATTTGAGTCATTTCCAGTTTCCAATTTCCTGATAGTTTTCATGGCATACACATCCCCAGTTTGTTTCTCTTTGATTAGATGGACTTCCCCAAAATGTCCTCTGCCTATTACATTTTTAACTTCAAAATCTGATATGTTGACTCTGAGTTGTTTGATTTCTTTGATGGAGTCTTTGAATTTGTCAACAAATCTAGCAATGTTTGCATCATATTTCTGTAGGTTCTCTAGGCAGCATTCTTCATATAGAGCATGAAGCACATCCAGTAGAGTCTCTCTAGCAAGTAAATTATTTTTGTCGAATTTTGCAGTTTTTTCCGTTATTTCAGCATTTATCCGAGCAACGCGTACACTAATAGGTTCTTTCAATGGCTCCATATTTAGGAATAGTAGATGCACATACTAATCATTGAAACATTTTATATTTTGATCAATATTTTGGTAGCTTTCACAACGCATTCATCTGATCTGTGCCTTCCACAGTGGCGAAAAACCTAAATAAAATGGGATTGATAGGAACCAAAAATTAAAGAGAAGGAACACCAAAATTACAGAATACAACCGTTAACGACTTTGAATTTTTGAATTGAATTGACAGCAAACAGCTGACGAATTTTAAAAGTGACAGTTCACATCTTCTTCTTTTTTTATTCCACAATTCTTGTTCCTATCGTTATCGACGAATTACTTGTTAAAGCCTGTAGGTGTCAGAGCTTATAACTTCTTAAGAGTGAAAGAAAAGAAGAAGATGAAGTGAATGCAAAAAGGAGGGAAATTTGAGGAAATTGAAGAATTTAAATTATAATCCTTTTATAATATATAAATGATCTGCAAATCGTGTTTGGAAGGTACTGGGTGATTAGAAAATGGTGATAATATGTAGCTCGCTGTATTTTACGTCCGAGATGCGCTCATCTTCGCTAGATGGCCGTTCTCGATGCGAAGATGTCGGTTCGAATCCGGCTTGATGAGCATGATTCTTGGTGCGGTAATACTGGCAGCACCTGGATGTCCTCAGAAGTGGTTCGGATTCCACTATAAGTATGGTTCCCCATCCAAATCTTACAATAATCAGAACATCGAAATAATGAGGTTCCTAAGTTCTAATCCCCGGCAGAGCAGAGAATCGTTATTTATAAAACGAGTTATAAATTCTAATTTTCGTAGCCTTGGCCAGAGATGATTCCGCGCGATTCGCTGTTGCGTTACAGAAAGTTAACAGTGCTGCTCCAAAGGTGGCGTATGTGAATAGTAACAAAGCCTACACAGAACACACATGGGCTGAAGGACCTCTCGTGACTCGTAAGGTCGATGGTCAGTTGTAGCCCAGCAAACACGTTACATCACATGGCAGTTTCGCGAAGTCCCAAATTGCAAATGGAAATATGTTTTCAGTTTGATTACGCATGTTTGTTCTGAACGTGGTTACATTGAGAATTCGCTTTGTTAACAAGAAATCTAAGATGCAGTGATTATTATTTCAAGATAATAATAAACAACCACAATGTCATTACCACAAAATGTGTTGAATTTCTAGTTGAAAAGATCGTCATCGAGAAACATCGCAAAGAAGTCTATTCGAGAAAGTCACCATATCAAAAGGAATAAAATGGAGAAGTCTCAGAGAATCCTCGCATGAATGTGCCCAATGTGATTGTAAATACGACATTTATTGTCTCAAAAACTGCCACAGTGACTATACGGATATATGTTTCATTTGGGCTATTTTATCAAATCTCAATTTGAACAACACAATTAATGAAATGCGTACTTGATGTCGCGGACATTTCGCTGCAAATAAGAGCGGGAGGAGATGTTTTTCGTACATCGCACGCGGATATTAGTTGCAAAATTACTTCCATAGTACTTTACAGTTACTGCCCTGTGTTTGCTGGGAGTATGTATATATACATACCAACAATTAAAGTAGCAGGTAGAGTAGGGTGATTGTTTATATTTTACTCAATAGCTTTCTCAGTCGTTTATATCGGTCTCACAGAAACGTTCAATCAAATGGAAAGCTATGAAGTAAAAAATGAAGAAAAAGCATCGTAAACCTAAACATTTTACATGAACTGATGGTATGTTTTGAATGGAACAGCCTGTATTTTATATTTCTGATCGGTAGAGCTCTTTATTCAGTTTTCGAAAACTACAGGGTCGCTGATATGTATGGAAACAGGTGAATACCTCGGTAACCTGTTGTTGGATTTTTTTGAATTTATGTACTGTGTGATTTCAAAACGTGTCAGATTTGAAAATGTTATAGCCAATGTTGCCACTTTTTCAGTTATACCGGATTTTTTATTAACTTCCTTATTTTGAATAGAACACCCTGTAATTTATTAGATTTTCAGATTCTCCCTGAGGAGCTAATTCCATCGATCTATCACACTTAGGGTCTAGCAGGAATGAATACATAGAGGTATAGGGTGTTTAAAATCTAGATTTTTCAACTTTAGTATTTTTTTGTGTCGAAACTATTTATTATCGATCAAAGCCGCTTCAATGTTCCCATCTTTACTTCTGATTTACTATCTACTGACATTTAATCAAAACAAATACAGGGTGGTTCAAGATTCAGAATTCTGATCACCCTCTGTATCTGTTCCAATTAAATAGTCAGTAGATGGTAAATCAAAAGTGAAGATAGGAACATTGAAGCGGTTTTGATCGATAATGGATAGTTTCTACACAAAAAAATCTTGAAGTTGAAAAACCTAGATTTTAAACACCCTATACCTATGTAATCATTCCCGTTCGACCCCAAGTGTGATAGATCGATGGAATCAGCTCTTCAAGGAGAATCTGGAAATCCAATAAAGTACAGGGTGTTTCATTCAAAATAAGGAAATTACTAGAAATCCGGAATAACTGAAAAAGTGGCAACCCTGCCAAAAATACCTTATGAAGTCTCATAAAGAAATATAGATAAAATATGAGTATTAATAAGGATATATAACCGAGTTCTGTAGCGTATGAGTACATTATCTCTGACACATGAACTTTCTAAGAGGTTTGATGATATTTCATAAGTATATGTGATTTATAAGCGTATACAAATATGGAGTATGAGAGTTTTTATCAGGCACAAGTGGTTTGAGGAGCTTATGACCACCAATATGATATTCCACTTCCAATTGGAAAAGTATCCTATGAACATTCATGTGCCTTAGTATATATGAGAAATGTGTAGGAATTCACAAATAGAATTCTATTTGGTATCGTCAGGAAAAAAAAAGTACAGGACTTTAGAGTTTCACTAAGGAATTCCTTATCTAATTTAATGCGATTTCTATTAGCATTCATGTGACTCAGAATAACTGAGAATTTACGAGTTTCAATTAGACAATGAATGCCTAATCTGAAATGTGTCCAATGAGTGTTTATGAGACAACTAGTTCCTAGGTTTATGAGCTCAAATATGAAAACACGGTTCTAAAATTATAGGTTCCTTATCAGCTTGAATGCGATAAATAATTATTGAGTAATCATAAGTTTTTGAAAGACAATATAGATATAATCTTTAACATATTTCATGAGTTTTTGTGAGAGTGAAAAGTGTTCGATAAATTATGATATTCAATAGGGAACTGCTGCCCTGATTCTATCGGTTGCTAATGAGTTTGTATGTGATATATTTGGTTTCAAGTATTCGAATTTTTTTATAAGTAATTACTGATCTATAATGGAACGTATCTTATTAGTCAAGCTGAGGTGAGATGTTCCAGAATTCATGAGTGTTGATAAGGATTTACCGTTATAACTGTATTCGTATGTTGTGATGTTTCATGCGTTATTTCTGTCTAAGAATTCACGAGTTCTGGACAATACATGCCTAATCTGAATGGTATCTAATAAGTTTGTATGAGATGTGTTAGTTCTGAGGATTTTTGGAGTTTGAAAAGACAATACTGATTTGAAACGGAATGTATCCTATGGGTCATGCTGAGGCTTGATGTGTATCAAAACTGATGGGTGTTGATAAGGATATACCATTATGACTCCAATGGTATGTTGAGAGGTTTTATGCGGGATTGCTGTATGAGGATTCAAGATTTGATTAGACAATACATGTCTGATTCGAAATGTATCTGATCAGTTTTTATGAGATATGTATCTTATGAGGAAATGTTTGTTTAAGGATTCATGAGAGTTGATAGGGATTCACCGTTATGACTGTATCCATATATTGAAATAAATGATGCGTTATTTCTGTATGAGGATTCACGAGTTTTGATAAGACAATACATGTCTAATCTGTATGGTGACTAATTAGTTTGTATGAGATGTGTATGTTCTGAAGATTTGTGTAGTTTGAAAAGACAATACTGATTTGAAATGAAGCGTATCCTATGGGTCAAGCTGAGGCTGGATGTGTTCCAGAATTCATGAGTGTTGATAAGGATATACAGTTATGACTTCAATGGTATGTTGAGAGGTTTTATGCAGAATTTCTGTATAAGGATTCACAAGTTCAGATAGGACAATACATGCCTAATATAAATGGTATCTGATGAGTTCGAATGAGATGTGTATGTTTTTGAGGATTATAAAGACAATGCTGAAGCTAAGGATATAATGTGTTATAGACTTCTTGAGGGTTGATGAGGATATATAGTTATGACTTCTGGTATATCGAGAGGCTTTTTCGCAGAGTTTTTTCATGATGATTCACGAGTTTGGATCAGACAATTCATGTCCAATATAAAATGTTTCCTATATGTTTGTGTGAGTTTTCAATAGTACAATATTTTCAAGTTCAAAATATATATTATTAGATCTTATGAGGATTAATGACAATGATTGACAGTTGTTATATGATTATGATAATAAAACAAGAGGTTTTATGCGGAATTTGTTTACTAGTTTCAATCAGACAATGCATGCTCAATCCAAAATGTATTAAATGAGTTTGTATGAGAAAATCAGTTAAAAAATTTGTAATTTCTAATGGAGTCTACAGTCAAGCCATGTCCCAACCAGATTAATTTTCTAAAAAATGCATAAGATTCGTCAGATCAGAAATCATTCATTCGCAAATAAACCTAAAAAATTAACAAGATACAAAAAATATTTCTGAAGAAAATATTCTTCTGGAAAAAACTGGAAGTTACCAGTCCGACCTCTAAAAAGTTATCACCAAATTTGTACAACAACATGGTTGTTTGAAACACTTGCAGGTCACAGATGATGATCAAAAACATCTCAAAACGTGACTTACAGTTGAGGAACATGCCATGCCAAAAATTATGGAAATTGATCCCAGCCTTCTCTTTTTATGAGCAAAATTATTTTTTTCCAAAAAAACTTCAACACCTTGTACCAACTCAACGAGACGATTCTGGATATAGGTAAGTTGGCCTGAATCAACTTTTTTCTATCCCAGGAGTCCACAGCCGAGCCATGTCCGAACCTTTTACAGATACCCTGTATATTTTATTTGGAAATAAAACTATATTGATTGTAACTTTCTCGGGAAAAACTTATTGATTTCCTTTTTTTTCTATATATCCAACACGGTCGTTACAGAACATTTTCAGACCATCTTTTATCATCTTTTTTTTTTTTAATCACACGAC